TTTCAGCGTCTGTTTCATGTCTCTCAAAGACAGAGCAGCAAAATTGAATTCTTCATTAACACGGGTTTCTCTTTTAGAATCCCAACAAAATTCTGTGGGCACTGTCGGACTCCCAACCTGGCGGTCATCCATGGTCTCAGAAGCATTCTTGCCAAGGTTGGTGCTGGACATCGTCTCGTTCATCTGCTCCGGAATCCTGCCCTCCGAGTTGAACACAGGCCACCACTCAGGTAGTGCTTGCTCAAGTGAAATTGGCAGTCGTTCCAAAACTTCGGGGTCTTCATCACCTGGTCCTTCTCCTACCAAGGTCGACACATGGATTTCGGCCGACGAGGCATTGGCATTTCCGGCATTTCCTTTGTTCGGACATTCTTGACGCCAATGTCCACGAGCACCACACAGTCGACAATGGGAGTTGGCTATCCGGTCAGCCAACGATTGCCGTCTGCGAAAACCCCCTTTTGGATTCCAGGTTCCTTTCTTCGAACCTTTCGGCTTCCCTTTTCCTTTGACTGGTGGCCAAAAGCCGCGGGAACGAATCTTCTCTCTGACTCGGCCTCGTGCTTCAGTGTATGCCGAGAAGCACATGCTCAAATCCGGATTGTCCTGGCACGCTTCAATCAACTGGTCTTCGAACTCCGTGATCATCAAAGCATCTTCATCTCCCTGTTCCATCAACAATTGGATTCCATGCTCATCGTCCATGGGCTGTTCTTCATCTGCAAAATAGGCCGGCGTCGGCATGTCTTCATCGTCATCGACGAAGTTGACTGCATAAACCTTCTTCTTAGGCTCCGTCCCAGTAGTGCCCACCAGGACACGAGGTGCCAGCTGTCTCATGGAGTCCTCAACTTTCTTTGCACGAAGTTCTCCCCCACACATTGCCAGGACTCTTTTCTTGTCCTCGGCTCCAAGTCCACTCTGGCGTAGCATGATGAAGGCCTTGATCTCAGGGACCGTCACCTTGTCGATCTCAGCAAATGCTACGTTCATCCGGTTGACATAGGAGAACACGCTCTCATCCTGTTTCTGGGTCACCTTGTACAGTGCACGCTCAAACTTCTCGTAAGTTTGCAGTTCAGCTGAGTCCTCCCAATCAGCAACAGTCTGCAGAAGGAGCTTGATGCCACCGTTCGGATCAGAGAGCTTTGTACCATCTAGGGCTTTGACTTGAGCCCAAGCCGTGCCCTTCATCAGAAGTGCGAGCCTCGGAGCTAACATCGGCCTGTCCTTGGCCGGACAGATGGAGTGTAAAAAACGGATCTTGTCAGCATATTCTCGGGGATCATCTGTGGCAGGATCAAATCCTGGCAGCAAACTCCAAATGTGGCCAGACTTCTCTTCCGTCTGACTTCCTTCTGTCCCAGCCATGGCTCACGAAATGATGGATGGTAAAATGTCTTGCAACAAAACAAATTGATTGAAATGCACACCCACCTAGGTGAATTACTCTCAAGGGAACCACCCCAAAAGGAACCTATGCCTCCTTGCGGAGGCTCCGCTACCAATGTTAATCTCACACTGGAGATAGACCACTATCTACTGTGAAAACCCTGTTCACCTAACGAAGCGCCCTCGCTTTTCCGTGTAATCACGATGTCCGCCCGCCCACCCTTCTCGGTGGATTGAACCATCGGAGAACCGCATGAGACAGTCGTCACACAGCTTGCGAGCTTCACAATATATATATTTATATTATATGCGCGCAGTGATTTCTTTTTTGGAATTCATTTGCAGTACTCCCTATACACCTTTCAGAAGAAGAAACATGGTGCGGCCAAAGAACGAGTGTGTATTCTTTCGTGGGAGGTTGGCTTGCAGTGGCTGTGATTGGTTGGTTCTGCACTTGGATGACAGCAGGATGCACAATTGAGTCTAGAAAAACGGATCCACTTAAACTAGCGCTTTATATAAGTTTCCAGAGGTAGACGATGCTTGGAGTATCTGAGCCTGCCACAACAAGAACAACAACAACAACAGCAGCAGCAGCAGCATACAACAGCAGCAACAGCAACAGCAACAACAACAAACACCAACACAAGCACAGGCACCTCGCGTGTTCCTTTTGGCGTCGGCTTGTTCTCCTCAAGATGGGCGCATCTTCTGATGTTGTTGTTGTTGTTGTTGTTGTTGTTGTTGTTGTTGTTGTCTGTTTTTGGCGCATCTCTCAGGTTTCAAGTGTTGATGATGATGAAGCTTTGGTGGAAGGATCCACACCTAAAGAGCCTTGGTTTTGTTGTGGCCTGGGTTTGCTGGTGATGTTGCTGGTGCTGGTGGTGGAAGTGGAGGGCCTTTGCGTGGGGAGCCTTAAAGGTTTGTATTTGTTTTGTCCGAGTTCGGGTCTTTGTGCAGGTCTTTGTTCACATATCCCACCAAATCCCAGCAGTTTCGTGTCACCAGTCAGTTTCGTTGGTCCAGATCTTTTGGAAGGTGAATAGACATGACAGCTTTGCTCTTCCTAGAGCCCAGGTCCAGGATCTCTGGTTTTGGGTTTTTGATAGGGTCCAGGACCATATTTCGGTGTGGTTGGTGCAGCTTCGGACCCCCCGTCGCCGTGGAACCATGGGTCCTTCAATCGCTGGTCGGAGGGCGGATCTCGCTCCGGCCGGAGGAGTTTTTGATTCGAACCAAGGAAAAGGAGGGTGGTCCACGAGTCACAGAGCTCGGGGTGGTGTGAAACGTCCCCTTACCGTGCAGTGGATGTGACTGTCCCAACTCCTACCTCGATCGCACCCAACTCCTGGGTGTTTGTCCTGGTTTGGTGGTGCTTGGAGGTTTTCCCGGTTGTAACTTGCCACACCTGGGAGGAAGATCTGTGGTTCTCACACCAAGTCTGGAAGAAGCTGGTAGATGGTCGACCTTCAACGGGTTAGGTTTGCTTAGTTTTGCACTTGAGAACGAATCAAGTCATTGTTGACAGATACTGATGGAACATGCAAAGCCACTCAGCCACTCGAGACTTGGTCATCTTCTTAATTGAATGCGCGCAATGCGATAGAAGCTGATCAATCTGTTTGGAGAACCAGATAAGCCCCAGTCAACATACCTAAGTTCCACAGCCCAGTGATCCACAGGGCTTAGGCCCTAATTCTACTAGCTTCCTCAGTTCGTGACCTCGTCGTGCAGTACCAGCGATCGAACCTTGCCTCGTCGTGCAGTGTGACCGAAGCATCTGGGAGACTCGTAGCAAGTGCGGTCACCAACTGAAAAAGCTAGGCACATGGAGTCGACCCGGAACTCGTACCTCGGAAAAGGGGTAGTAGGTCGTACCTGTTTTTTATGCGGTCATGTCCCATTTTCTAAGGTACGAACTGGAGACTCCAGGTATATAGTGGAAGATTTGGAAGGGGTGGATCTTTTTCAGACCCTCAGTGAATGAATCACTGGCACGAAGTTATCTATACTGTACATTGGAACCTTTTTGACACTCACCTTTCTGAAAAGGCGCCTGAAAGAGGATCGCGTCCTTCGTTCCAAGCCGTGAACCCCACCGAGTCCCAGGAATCTCCGCTGCACTTTGCGCATGGACAGCGGCGAGGATATCACTGGAACAATCGTGAAGTTCTCGCAGGATGGAAACATTGTGATGAAATGTCCTTCGATTCCAAATTGGCTGCAAATGCTCGGCTGTTTTCCGAACGTACCCTAGGGATCCAGTCGTACCTTCTCAGAAGGTGGGACTGGGGTGGGTGCCTTTCCGAACGTAAACATCCGATTTCTATCTGGATGTTCTGCCTGCTTCCCGCCTTCACAGCCGCCTCAAACACTTCCGCAGATTGCGAAAAAAGAGCGAGTTCCAAGTCGAGGGGCTGTGCAACGCTGGGAACCCAGCTTCTGAACTTCAGTTTCGTGATGAAAGGAGTTTCTAAGAGCGCCCAAGTCCAACCAAAGGAGGATCCCGGGAGAACCAGAAGAACCAGGCTCAGCCACGTTCCGTCCGGCTCCGCACAGTGTTTTTGTTTTCTGCATTTTTCCAGTGCGTACGTGGCGTTGTGTGGCAACGCAGTGTTTTCGGCTTTGGCATTGAACCAACGGGGTGCTGAGTCAAATTACTTGAAACCCTTTCGACAGGTGCGTAGTTCAACTTCCAAGGTAAGAAAGTCAAAAAGTCCGTTTGGCCCAACTGAGTACCAAGGCGCTGTGAACATCCATTCCCCTTTGAGCTGCATATCTTTCACACAAACACCACTTGGGCGATCACCAAGCCAAAAAACGTGTCACCTGTAAACAACGTCCGAGCTGTTTGGATCGGTGCTGGGCCACCTTTGTTAATTCAAGGTCTTCTTTATACCCCAACAATGCCAATCCATGTCATATTTGCTATACATTGACCCTTAAAGCATCGTAAAAAGCACCCCAATGCAGGGAGTACGGCATTCATGCACTTCCTATACAGTCTTATCGTGTAATCAGATTGTGCTGACAGCATGACGCATGGCTTGAAGCGCAGATGTCTGTTTTGCAAACTTTGGAGGATCCCGGCGCCGGGACGCCGGGCGCCGGGACGACTGGCCAGTCAAGCCCTCAGGTAAAGATGGGAGAACTCGCACCTTCAAGAAGAGTGCCGTGGCGGGAGAGAACTCCTGCCAGCGAAAGATGGAGTGGCAGGTCCACATGGAAATCGAGACCGACCCAACTGGTGACCAACATGGTGACCCCTTGTTCAGGGGACTCCTTTGCCCTTTTTTGGCCTCGTACCGTTGTATACCTGATAGGGTTGGGAATATGGAACCATATGGAACCATATATTGGAACCATATGGAACCCCATCACACCACGACGGGGCTGATCTTTTTTGCCTTGCATCTTGGCACCAGTCGATGTTCGACAAATCTATCAGCTCTCCCTACAAGTCCTTCGTAATGGGTGTCGTTAAGCCGGATCTGACTGACCTCATCTCATTGAGTACTGAGTTTTGCATGTTCCCGGACCCAGTCAAATAAGGTCCGTAAGACCTGTATAGGGTACCCTCCCACAAACTAACATGCAACCTGAGAATTGACCGGTGGAAGACTATTTTCCTCCACAACCCAGTGGTTTTGGCGTTCCACGTCAATCTGCAGGGGAGTATATTATACTGACACTTCGACGCCTGGCGCTCGAGGCGAGTATGTGTCCAAACACATCCAAGAGCCGGATTGGGACAAGCAGTTCTTCCCTAGCTTCACCTTCATCAACATTCAAGGAGCCGAGACGGGGCGGACATCGCTCGGAGACGCAACCTGCCACATGCCCTGCGCCGGAGGAGAGTGCAACGACCTCTTTAAGCCCATCTACGAGGTGGTTTGGAGCGACCAAGACGGCACCTTTGCCTCTCGGATCTCTCGTTGTTGTTATGTCAAGGAATGTCAAGGATCTCAATTGCCATTCAAGCATTTAAGTTTCTCTTTTGGGGTTGGGACTGCTTTTCCTGCTGGTATAATAGTTATAGGGGTGCCCTGGTAGGATGGCATAAACAGAACAAAAATCAATACACCATTCTATCTAAGCCAGCTACCGGGATTCTCAGTTCATACCCTTATACATGGGGCAAACACTCATCATGGCTACGACTCATTTTTCAGCTGTACCTAGAGAAGCAAGTACGTACGTCACCATTTTGTATACCTCCTGGAACCCCCAAGAAATCGCTTTCACGCTGGTACTATATACTTGTTCTATAGCTTAGTATCTTGGCTTCCCCAGGTCATCACATACCCCCCCCGCCGCGGTGTCCGGTAGACCGGATCACCTCACCCAACCTCCGTCCGCCGTGGGACCCGGAGCAGGTCTCGTGGCGACGGAAGATCGATGGGACCTTCGCGGAACGCTTGGAGTGGCTTGGTGGGGGACTGGTGGCGGTGCGGCACCTCTTTGGGTGAAAAGACCGGTGGACATCTTGAAGCTCTGTGTGTTAAGAGGCTATCTTACAATAATATTATAAGATAGATACTTATCTATAAGGGGTTTGGGCTGAGAGAGAGAGAGAGAGAGACACATCAGATGCTATATATGATGTGACGTCCCCGGTAATTAAGACGACCGCGTTCGGAATCGTTTTTCTCCACAGAGTTTGGCTCGAAAGCGTTGATGCTTTGCCGCGATTGCGGTCTCCTGACATCCGGGGAGGCTGAGGTGGTCTGTACGTTCTGCAGATCGCGTACCCGCTTTTGGACAGTCTGTGACGACCTTCCTGTTGGACTTCGTTCTTGGGCGGTCAGCAGCCTGCGCATCTGGACTTCAATCTTGCAAGAGGAGGCTGAGAAGTTCCAGGAGCACAAGCGCCTACAGGAGGAAGCGGGTAAGACAGCGGCATCCAAAGCCAAAAGTCCGGCTACCAATTCATCTCCTGGTCCGGGGAGAGCAGAGGCGGAGGAGGACACAGCCCCGCCTGGCAAGGCCTGGTTGGAACCAAAACGCGAGGAGGAGCAGCCAAGTAGCCCCATCAAAAGGGAGAGCAGTCCCACAGAGGCTGAGGAAGAAGGCAAGAACACCAGTTCTTCAAGGGCATATCCTCGTGATCAAGGAAGGCCATCGAGGAGGAAGAGCAGGACGCGAAGCAGAGAACGCAGAGAGAAGAAGAGAGCTAGCAAGACTCGCTCAAGAAGCAGGAGGAGACACAGAAGGAGTTCAAGAGGTGAGGCAACAGGTGAGTCCACTCGGAGGGATCGAGAGGCACAGCCAGCAGAGCTGAGGGCGAAACCTTCAGTTCGACCTCCACATACGCCTTCAAAGTCACCCCCGGGGAGGCACAACCCTCCTTCTAGGACCCCGCCTATCATCAGGCCAGCGGTCAAAAGGTGGGACGGAAAGCCAGCCGCGTGGAAGTTGCAGCCAAAGTTCTTTGGTGAGAACAAGGGAGCGAAGAAGAGAGAGAGGCATTGGTATCGGGCTCAGGGAGACGAGAGCTGAAGGCTACAGTAGGCGATGCCACCCAGGCGTCGGCCGGCTGGAGCTTTGGAAGAGGCACCTCCTAGGCGGGGAGGGGCAGTGAGGAGGAGGCCAGCCGCGAGAGAGGCTGGTGAACCAGAGGCTGAGGGAGAGTTGAGGGGTGAGGCATTGCGCCTTGCCTCAACAGGAGCGAGTTTTGAGAGAGGAGAGAAGGTGAAATGCGAAGAAGTTCCTTTGGAAGTTTTTCGAAGGGGCCTGCCGATATGCCTCGAGGGCGTCTATTGGGGCGCCCGAGCTATGGTGGCAGGTCTGGTGGAGGATCTTTACATCAGGACGCCCAAGGATGTCGGGTTGCACGTGAAAGCTCAAGGCACGACGGAGGAGACCCTACTCAAGTGGGCCACTGGCCATCCCGGCCTGAAGCTCAGGGTCCATCTCTGCGGGGACAAATGCCCCGAGAAGCTCGAGGCGGAGGATCTCATCCATGGGACGATCGTTTCAAAGAGAACAGGCGAGGACGATCCGTGGATGGCAAACTTGATCGAGGAGGTCGCAAGGCCAGAGAGCCCCCGAGCAGCCCCTCTCCTGGTCGGGGAGAGGGAAGAAGGAGGAGGCAGAGGGAGCAGTGCAAAAGTAGCCGCAGAGGAGGAAAAGTCCGAGGCGAAGAGAAAGAAAAAGAAGAGGAAGAGGAGCGAGGAACGAGGCAGAAGCCCCGAGAAGAAGAGCAAGGAGAAGATCGACCTGAAGGCCGGGGCTCGCAAGGAGTTGAAGGAGGTGTTTGGGGGCACAGGCCTGGACCCAGACCCCAGATTCAGGCGTCGCTATGCCGTGAAAGCCCAAAAGAAGACCAAGAGAAAGAAGAAGGACTCCTATTCAACGGGGAGTTCGAGCAGCGACGAGACTACGACCTCCGAATCCGTGGAAGTGTTCGAGGAGCAGCAGAAAGTCCGCAGGCTCTCAAAGCGGGCACCGGGGGTCCTTGCGGCCCTAGCGATGGACCCTGAGCCGAATTGACGCTTTACTCCTAGCTTCGGGGAGTCATGGAGTATGGGCGTATGTCCATACTTCACAAAACCCAGCTGACCGCCCATCGAGGCGGCCTGTGAAGAAGAAATGGTGAAGAAGTCCAGGTCGCACCTGGAAGGTAGGAGTAAAGCAGATAGGCAAGCACAAAGATGACGTTTGGGACCACTTCGAAATCTGACTGTTCAAAGCAAAACTAGAGCACGTTATGACAAAGCCATGGAGCGCTACCGCAACTTTTTGTGAGAAGAGAGCCGCCCTTATCCTCGAGATGCAGCAGGCCAAGACTATGTCCTTTCACACTACATCGAACATCTTTGGGAGACGGGTGAGGGGAGAGCACTCGCCTGTGACACCGTTGCAGCTGTACAGGACTTCCATCCGTTTCTTCTCCTCCAATGAACTGCCCAATCGTGCGCCCCCGCTGCCCCTGGAGGCCCTTCATGTTCTAGCCGGATATGCACTGTTCAGTGACCAACCACTGTTTGCTCTGTCGTTGCTTCTTGGGTTCCACGGGCTCCTGCGCACCGGGGAGCTACTGGGGGTGCAAAAGGCGCATGTGGTTCAGGCAGGTCCTCGGAGTCCAGCCGTGATTTCGCTCGGATTCACAAAGGGTGGCAAGAGGGCAGGAGCGGCAGAAAGTGTCACAATTCGAGAGGAAGACACCTTGAGAAGACTTTGGCAGTGGTTGAGTTCACCGCACACTCCAACAACACTTTGTGGAACACCTCATTCTTGGAGAAAGACCTTCAATGAGTGCCTTTTAGCTTGTCAACTTGATAGTTATGACTTCCGGCCTTACAGCCTCAGACGAGGCGGGGCCACGATGTATTTCGGCCGACACGGCTCGTTGGACCGGCTCCTGGTTCAGGGGAGGTGGGCCTCGAGCAAAACGGCCCGAATTTACATTAACGAAGGTCTAGCTGTACTCGCTGAACTTAAGCTTACTTTTAATGGCACTGCACAGGCCTACCGAAGACAATTTCAGAAGTCTCTCCGTGTCCCGCTTCAAACTCTTGAGCTTCACCCCAAGGGTGGGCCAGGGGGACGTGGAAGGAAGCAGAGACCAAAGCGCAAAGCGCGCAAATGAGGGAACTTCGTTTTCATTTTTGGAATTTAACTCCGCCGGCGGAAGAGAGAAAAAGATCAAGGGATGATCTCAAGGTAGGGTGGTGGCCCGGATGTCCCCCGGCCTGGCGGGGCCCGGGACCACCCTGGACTCTTGGCTCACGCTCACCCCGGCCTGGCGGGGCAGCTGTGGGGGGAGTCAGAGGCAGGGGCCTCTTCAAGTGAATTTGTTCGATCAGTCTTTGTTGTTCTTTCTGACTATCAAGGTCTTGCATTGCGGTAAAAAAGGAAGAAGAACATAGGGAGTCTTTATATATATATATATACACCAGCATGGAATGTGAGTGGCTTAACCTTGTTGACTTTGCGATAGCCGAAGCAAGTCTCTTTGCAACCGCCTTTGGCAGCAACGAATGAAGTGATGTGCATCGTCGCTGGGTTAGAGTCTTTGCCCTGCTCAGCCTGAAGAACACATGAATGAATGCCAGTGGCACCTACTAACTACCTGGATCTTCCCAGTAACCGAACTTGATCCCCTGGTTGGTTCGGTCACGAACAGGCTTGTAAAGGATCACTTAGGGACTCCAAAGTTCGGTTACTGAGAAGGTCTTGGTACCCAACTCTTTGATCTCTTCCTCTCAGACGAAGTTCGTGTGTCCCAGTTCCATCGAGAGTTGCATGTGTTGCTCGATGCATTCCATCAGCTCATCTGGGTATACTCCCTTACACCGACCCGTTTTCGTACCTCCGAAACGCTTCGGTCTGACCGGACCCGACCCGACCACCCGGGCCACCCCGGTCGTCCCACCGAACACCGCAGCTCGCGGGAACCGGTACATCGAAGAAGCGAAGGACCGGTGCGTCTCATTGGTCGGTCCGTCTCCTTGAAATCCTGCAGTCTCTGAAAGGTCAGTCAATGCAGTCGCCGCGTGACCGCTTTCTCCTGGTGCATCTGTTAGAACGAACTTGGATCATCCGAATTGAAGGTAGCAGGCCAGTCCCTGGCGCCTGTCGGCGCCTGGAAATCCAGCGCGACGATGAGATCGTCGCGCCCTCGAAGCTGCCCTCGAATCACTCGAAGCCAACCTGTTTCCAAATCACTTGCTGCCCAGAGGCTCATGGACCCTCAAACTGCTGAGGTCCAAAACCCTGGTTGTGAGGGTCAAAAGCCTACGTAGCTATGAGGGTCCAATGAGCCTATGGGTGGATTGTTTAAACCCCCTGCAGTTGGATAAATGTTAATATAATCAAGAGTATATGATCCCCGGACCCCACCAGAGACCTCAGAAGGTGATTAGACCACCCTGGCACCCACCCCAACACTCTCAGTAGTTGGAGCCCTTGGGTAGTTGCAGTCGCCACAAAGCCCGAGGGATCCAGACGCAGACCTTCTCAGAAATGGACCCTCCTAGACCTATACTTGTAGGTCCACCTACCGAACTGGAGCTGATCCATCAGCTGATCCATCAGCTGCACCCAGGTTTGGCGTACCTCACCCCAAAGCCTTCTCAATGGGTTGTGACGGCGGGTCGCCGGATGAGGTTGCATTACTTCCCTTTGGATCGTCAGCTCTGCCGCATCAAGATCACCGCGGAAAAGCCCATCGAGGAAAAGCGGTCGATCCTCGGGATGGTGGTTGGTGTGTAGCGGGCGAGGCACTTCGACCCCCGCTGCGATGTCAAAGCCCCTTGCAGTTCCGTTCCGTGGTGACGCCACACAGGATCCAGGGCGGATGTCAGGATCGGGGATGCGGAAGCACATCATGTTCATGGTGGGCTGTTGTGGTTGTTGGGGTTTATGTTCAATGTGTGTTCCCTACCCCAGCTTCTTCAGTTCGTGACCTTTTGAAGGTTCCTTGTCGTGACCCTTAGCAGGCTTAAGAGACCGAACCAACCAGGTTATCAAGTACGGTCACTTTGAAGAACCAGGCCGTTGATGATTGATGCGCTTGCTTTTACGACATGTTGGCCCCCTAGCTTTCACCCTCGTTGTTTGGATGAGGGATGAGGGTAGGAGTTCTCTCCACTGTTTGTGCCTGGACTGGTTTGGGCACAGCTCATCTCTCTTCGGTTGCGACTCTGTAAACGTCCAGGTGTCTGAAGCACCGTGTATGTGGGGCCTGGTGCTTGAGAAACCCTGGGGATCCAAGTACCTTCTCAGAAGGTGGGACTGGGGTGGGTGCCCTGGTCGGGTCCAGGTGCCGTACCTGAGCAGGTACGACTGGATCCCTAGGGAAACCATCGACTGGCTGACTGGCAGTTCACACTTCAGACCTTGGTCCTTTCAGGTGCTTTTTCCATCCTTTTCGTCTGCTTTTTCCATCCGGGGGTACTCAGTGGGTGCGATGATTTTGTCTGGCTAGATTCATGTTCGAGGGAAAGACTTAAACACGGGACGTACATGTTGATTCATGCAGTTGAATGTGGCATTGCCGTGCAGCCAGCAGATTGCTCAGCACATTTGTAGTTGCATTTTTGTCCCGTTTAGTGGGCTCACTGTTCACCGGAGAGCAATGCATGCTTCAGCAGCAGCTTCAGATGCAGAGGCCGCTGTTCTGCTTGAGCCCGATGCTGAAGGATGTGAAGACGTAAGGACTCCTCCTCAGCACTGTGGCGTTCGTCTTGGCCTTGTCTTCTTGACCCTTCTCTTTGCTGGATGTGCGGTGTGGTTGTACCACCCGAGTTGGGAGGCTGCCCAGCTGTCGGTGAACTATGCCCAGCTGTCGCGAGCGGTGGAGAAGAAGTATTTGGCCTTGGGATCAGGACAGCCACCATTTTCGGACCCTGAGGACATTCCAAACATCAGAAACAACCACGGTGGCATGACCAGCGGAAATGTGGAGTTCATGAAGTGCGTGAGTGTGAACTCCGGTGGCAAACCTTTGGACCTCGGGGCGGCCGTACCATGTGCCTGCGCTGTGTTTGATGCCAGGAGCACGTCCGAAATAGCCAACAAAATTGACAGGATCGATCACTGTACTCAAACTTGCGGCTTTGACGTGGTATGTGGGCATGACTGCATGACCGGCATATGCCCCAGGTATATTGCTCAGGTCCAAAAAGCTACCCAGGTGATAAAAGGAGTGATGGAAGATGTGTTGGCAGAGAAGCTGGCTGCTACAGCAGCTACAGCACCGACGTACAGTTGATTCTGCTGGTAGATGCACTTATTTTTACGGTACTGTTGATTGTCACTGCTCGGGCATCATTTTTCCATATGCCGAGCTTTTGGTGGCAAGACTTGGTCGGCACCAAAAATTTTTAAGCAGCTGACTAAGCCGAACTGAGCAGCGAATGTGTCCAAAAATTGTTGTGCGCTTGCAGATGCGCAAGCCATGCACGAACCATTTGCTTTAGCCAACAGCATGACATCACGCAATTCATGCAAGGGTGTCGCAAGTGTCCGCGACGGATTTGTTTGGACAGTTTCTTCTGGCTGTGGCAAATGATAAGTCTTGGTCACTTGATTCAAGCATGTGCCCAGTGGGCCTTGCAGAAATCGTCGTAGGGGAAATGCTTTCACTATCTTTCACTGACTTGTTTGCTTGCTTGGAGGGCACCAGGGAGCGACAACCACCAGCCATCACTTTCCATCCTAACCCATCGGTACCCGGACCCAGGTCGACCCGTTTTGGACCCAGCCGTGAGCGTCCCGAGCGGCTGAGCGTCCGGTAGAACTTCTTCCGGTCGATCCCCTGTTCAGATCGACCAGGACTTCCAGTTCGTCATGCTCAAGAAAGACCATAAACATCACTTTTCGCGCGCCTGCGATACGTTCAAGGTGGACCAGGTGGGACGGCGCCCGGGACGGCGCAGACCCCGCGCCCGCCGCGGCGCGGGACGGCACCGCGGGACGGCACCGCCATTGGCCGAGACATTCTCGAGTTCGGGCGGAGAGATGGGGAATTCAGGTTCTTGGGATGGAACCCACTGACTCAGAATTGCATGTTGTCCATGAGTTGAAAGCACCAACCAGGTTTGTGTTCACCTGTGATTTTGTTGCAGCTCTTTCTGATGGCTGATGGCTAGGAATAGGTTACTAAGCTGGATCAAATGGGAGAGGGCCATTGTCCAAACACCGTTCCTTCTTAGGGTCCATCTGGTCCATGGGATCATGTGCGGGTCTAGCACGACCTACACGACCTGAAAGGAGATGCAGAAGCTTTGCGGCTCCTATGTCCGCTACTGTGACTTCGAGTTGCCCTTCCCATCGCAAAGATCGATGGTGAACGTCATATTTCATTTGGATCGTCAGGGTGACTATTACTTCAACAACATGTTGCTGATGGTCTTCCTGGTACCTCGGTGCCCAACTCCACGTGACGTATACAGATCACGTGACGTGGAAGGACTTCGGACGTCACTTCGAGAAACACAAGCTGTCCGCAGGGTGAATCAAGCCAGGAAGATGAGTATGTATGTATCTATCCCAGACCATCTGTGTGGCTGGAATATGTATATACATATCATATCATTGGACCCTACTTGTAAGGACACTATAGCATTGTAACTAAAAACATTCCAGTCCCATGGATGGTCCGGGATGGTTTGGGTTTGTCGCGACCAGTTCAATTCCATGACTTCGAAACATGTTTGGTGATGTGTTTGTACCACACACACACACACACCTGAAAGAGCCTTAGGGATCCGCCACCCCAAGTCACAGGAAGTCTTTTGGTTGTGCTTGACCTGTGCAAGTACCTGACCAAGGAGTTCGGACACTGGGAGTTGATGGATCCATGTAATTCAATGGATCCATATATGGGACATGAGAGCCTTTCAAAAGCAATTTTCGTCTACCAGGACCCTCCAAGACCTGTTGGAGGGTGCTGGTAATCCTTATCAGATGAGGTAAGAACCCACATGACTTGTTGTGCACCAGATCTATGTCTTCGCAGGCTTTGCAGGCTCCGGTGTGTGACCATGCCGTCTCAAAGCTTCACTCCAGGTGTCGACGATTCAGATTTGACTCAGTGACATATTATGCCCTCCGGACGGATATGGTCTACGGATCTGGTGAAAAAAAATCAACGTCAAAAGGTTAATCATGGTCTGATTCTTGGGGTATTGACGATCGATCAGTTAGGCTTTCCGCTTGATTCAGGTTGGCCACCCATGAAGGGCTCTCCTTACTTGTTGGAATTGGAGCGTACAGCACGGCGAAACCTTGAAGATCATCGATTCTTAACCACGGAGTTGGCCGAAAGTGCCGGTCGGTACTGAAGTTCAAAGTTCCAATTCATGAATCTACCATGATCTACCCCTATTTGGTCATGATCCACCACTTCTTTGTGTTTGTAAAATGGTTCAAGTCCTTGGACGGTACCGTACCCGTGCCCGATGCCCGATCGCCTTGCTTCCGAGGTGAATCTCATGGGGCTTTGTGCCTTTGCAATCCCTCTACATGATGCAAGTGGTCGATTAAGCTTAGCCACTTAGCTCCGATTGATCACTTGATTGATTACATTGGCCGCCAACCAGCAACGTTTGTTGATTTGGGAATCCAGCAACGTTTCAAGGGTGGTAAATACGCGCAAGGAAAAAGACGTGGCAAGAAGAAACCTGTTGAGCCTAGTCTTCAAGGAGTGTAGCGCATAGATTGTGGAATAACTATTACCTAGGTTCTGCATCAGAAGTCACTAGACAGAGAGAGAGAGAGAGAGATGTTCAGACAAGACACTGACATGAACAGTGGGTCCTTCCGAAAGGTTCCGCTTGTTCAAAACCTTTGTCAAAACCCGGGCTCGATGGTCGGTTTGTTTGGGTGTGTTTGGGAGGCGGGGTTGACCTGCAGGCATTCATGCCTATGTAGATGAAGGTTTCAGGGGTGAATGTATAGGCATAGTATACATGTGTATACCTGGAGTCTCATTTAAAGTACCTTTGGGTACAAGCACCTGTTTTCTACTGGTAGGGTAGATTCTAGGGACACATCCCATTTTCGAAGGTACTTTGGAGGGTCCAGGGATATACATGGAGTATTTGGCTGGTGGTGGTTATCCCTTTTCAGCTGTTCTACATAAGTTTCATCCATCACTGCAGGATAGTTCTTAGGTCTACAGAGTGCCCCACCCACAGAGTTCTCGGTCGCGTGGACGACAGCTGCACAGTCGTCCAAGGCGATTGCCTTTTAATGCCTGTTGCTTGATTAATGGAGAGGATACCCTCAGTCGTGTGAGTCGTGTGCAACCGTAAATGGTACCTGACACTGAAGGGCTTCCTTCTTCCCTTCTTCACATCGCAGGCCCTTCGTCCCAGGTGAGTTCTTGCTTCCTGGCCGTTCTGGCCTACCGCTACATCATCAACGAGATTCTGCCTCGCAAGGCATACCTCACCGCTGCCGACAAATACATCACCTTCGCCTGTATGTTCCTCGGCGACAGTCCTACCTCCGTTGAAGGTGAAGGTGGGACTGGGGTGGGTGCCAGGGGGGTCTTATACCACCTTCTCAGGAGGGGATTGGAGCCCTGAAGAAGGAGAATGAAACGAGTTTCGTTCACCTGGTTTGGTAATGTCGACCTATCATCAAGAACATGCCCATAGGGTCCAGGTACCTCTTGAGGATGGTCTTGGAGGTGAAAGTACTTCCTCAGGATGGTCTTGGGGGTCAAAGGACATCCTCAGGATGGTCCTGGACCCTTAGGGATGATCCCGCGAAGCAAATCCCAAAGCCGCATAATACACCTACACATAGAGCGCATAGAGCTACTTTTTTAACCCTGGACCTAGATATCATGATATCCAAATCTCTAGCCCTTTAAGCAAAAGTCTTGAAAAAGACTCCTGTCTTATCTTCTAGTGTTTGTGCCTTTCAATTCGTTATTAACTGGTTCCTTCTTTGGATTGCTTCTTACATCCATCCTCTTATAATTTTATCACTTGGACTCACCAAACCCCCAAATCTTCGCCTTATTCACCTTTATGCACATACGTCTCGCACGCATCAACTCAGCTGAAAGGTGCCTAGAATTGAGATGAAAGGGCAATTTGTTTTGGAGAGAGGTTTCTGGAATTCACACAAAGGGCACATTAGTATTGTGGATAATTTGTCTGCCAGCACGAAACTTAATAGCCTTATTTAGGGTATATACACTTTATTGATGGTATGGTGGCTTCAAGAGGGATACCCTTTCCAGACTGATTTTGGTCAATTGTTGGTGGGTCTTGAAGGTGCGGAAATATTCGAAGAAGTGACAAGGCAACCAAACGATCGAATTAGAGCTACGAAAGGCAAATTCCGACAAGCGAGATTTCAATATGGTGACTAACTAAGGGTTGCACACGAATGTTCACCTCTGATTAAGAAACGACCCCCCCCTTTTCAGGTGACCTTAAATAATCTCGAATAGATTCAACTAGTCTGAAATACTGCTTTAGTATATTGACCATTGACCGTAGACTGGATTCAAGATTGATCAGCAAGGAATCCAATGGTCAACATATGTTTGTAGGGATCCAGTCGTACCGAACCTCAGGTACGGCACCTGGACCCGACCAGGGCACCCACCCACCCCAGTCCCACCTATCCTGAGAAGGTACGACTGGATCCCCAGGGTATAGTATTGGGGTTTGAAACCCCCCTCGTGGTTGGTCCGGACGGTGGACGCTGGACGCCTCATCTCCTAGCCGGCCGACACCGGGGGGGTTCCTGGAATCGGGGTGAGGTTCCTGATTGTCATTTGTTTGCAAACGGTGGTCTTCGTGATTTGGAGACGTGGCATTGAAGAAGTGAAGCCGCTTGGAGCCAGCAAGTCATTTTTTTTCGAGTTGACCGACTTCGGGGGGGGAGGGGCAGCGAAGATCCTTCAGTTCGTGACCGACTTGGAGGGTGAATCCCCTTGAAGCATCTGAATGATTCACCCCCGGCATCGGGTTTATCATATATATGATTCCAGTCGCGTTGTCATATACGCGACTTCAAACCAGGCCTGTTTGGGATCTCAACGGGGATGAAGTTGGGTCATGAACGGAAGAGCCAGTTATGAACGGTGTTTTTTTGGGGGTCACCAAGGTCATGGGCTGCGCCCTGGCTGGGCCACCGCTCAAAGAGAAACACATGTTTGATTGTTTGTGGTTTCGTGACCGGTTTCTGCTTATGTGTCCTCTCTATAGCTAGAAGTCAACTCAGCCTTTAAAGAAGCACTGGGACTCACAACATTCATTGAGTTTGTTGTTTTTGCGACGGAACAAGGTGTCCTTTTCACCTGTGCCCATATGTTGTCAATGACGGGATTTGGCTCGGCAGCAAGGAACATGAGCACGGTCCCAGGTGCCCTGAACATTCACCTTGGTCTTCGGTTCGACCATTCAAAGAGTTCGGTTGACCTGGTTTTGCACTCTAAGATCCTTACCCATAGGGTCCAGGTACTCCCTGAGGATGGTCTTGGAGGTGAAAGTACTTCCAGAGAATGGTCTTGGGGGGTGAAAGGACATCCTCAGGATGGTCCTGGACCCTTAGGGTTAGTAAAACAACTGGTTAATTGGTAGCTGAGGGATTTAAAGCATCCAAACAATCCAGGACCTTCAGTTCGTGACCGAACTTCAGATCCCAGAACGAGGGTCGGGGCCGTGGTCACAGTGCCTGTCTAGATCTATATAGAGGTCACAGACTTCGACTCATTCGAGGTCGCGAACTGAAGGAGTTTGGGTTCTTGGAATCCATTGGTTCACGCCGGGTGGCTCTCCTCCATAGCAGACATGAAGGTCCAGCACAGAAAAACCTGGGAGGCTCCAGGTGCATCAGATTGCCTCAAAGCCCGTGACCATTTGACCCAGACATGGGCCATGTATGGAATTTATTGGGGCTGTCCGAACTTACCTGTAACAGGACCCGTAAACAATGATCACCGGCACCATTTTGGAGTAAAGCTCATTACTAACCATCATCATCCACTATATATATAATTATATAGGGAATAGGATATACCCAAGGGAGTTACATGAATTTGTACCATATATTGTTTTTTTTTGTGCCTATATATAGATGTTTGAAACCACCCTGTAGGCCCGTAGGCAAACATGCCAGTCCCATGGCTCGTTTCAGCCTCTTTTTCTTTCACCTACTGCCCAGAAGTGACGCAGGGAAGGGCAGCTCAGCTTGGCATCACTTTGGACTCGCAGTACCTTGGATTTCTATGACTATGTCTTGGGGGTGCTCATGTTCATCGTTTGGGTCTCTTGGCAGACTCCAGACTCGATGCGCGTTACGTGGCGTGCCACGGCGGAGAGAGCCGGGCGCCTTGTGTACCAGGAGAGGTTTTGCGACAGGCCAGCCTTCTCATGCGGCAACGGATCAGGTTGGTCCCAGAAATGACATCTGAATCCAAGTACTACCGGATCCACAAAAGTCTGAGATCCCGGCCAAGGTGTCGACCGGACCTTGAAGGACCGAAACCAACATCGGTTTTTGGGCCACCTCGAAGACACCTCGATCTACGGGGCTAGCAATATAGACACCTCTTGGAAGGTACTTGTAGTCCTTTTGTCTCGAGGTCACGTCTACATGTCGACTCCAAAGATGTCGACGCAGCCGAACTCCGGGAAAGTCGTCCTTCGTCCTCCTTCGTCCAGACCGCGCGGGAAATCCGGACGAGTCCGGGCATGTCAAAGAGTGACATGGAGACATGAAACCATAAACCTTTAGGGCTCCAATCATATCCTCAGGTTCGGTGGGCACAGACCCCCCCTGGCACCCACCCCAACCATCTTCGAAACGGAGGTGGGCCAGGAGCCCTAGGGAACTAACACAGTGAACTCGCGTACAACACAAAGATTGGCGAGGCCCAGTGCATCGGGTGGTTGTTTTTGGATGGAGAAGGGATGAACAAATCCATGCACGGACCTCAGACCAAACCTGGACCCTCCCCAGTGCAACAAATGACTAAGTACATGTACTTGATGCGTTGGTGCTATGGGCCATGGCCTGTTGGGAAAGCTATTCCAAAAGACTCCATCCACCCCATCCCAACGAGCACCTCACTCGAGCACCTCGCACCTCAGCACCTCAGCACCTCGCAGGTGGCGATCAACGGTTATCTGTGGTGTCTATGGAAGTTGTCAAGGCGACAAGATTGGGGATCGGTGTATTTGGAGAATGAAGAGCCCTATGCGCCCATCCAGGACGCGGAGCACATACGGCATACGTGACGGGCGGAAAATCGGCTGTGACTCGAGGTTTCTGTGACGGATGTGGTGGTTCCATTGGCGTGGCGAAATCGGCTTCGAGTGAGAACACAACACGTTCAAGTCTCTTTCCAAAGTCCTTTTCCTCTTTCCCGGGTACTTGTTCACCATCGGTCTCAGGTCTGTATTTGGTATAATATATGCTAAGCGGGTCTTCTCTGGAACTGTATACTTTGTAAAAGAAATCATCCTAGGCATCTGGTGATGGGTATAGCAATATAGCCGTCGGAAAGCCAGAGCTTAACGATTCTTTGACTGGTCACTTAGTCACTTCGAAGGGGGAGCAGAGGAATTCTATCCAATTCCATTCATCTCCTTGCCATGCCCGGCAGCCTCGTCGCAGTTCCGTTTCTTCCCGTTTCCGGTTCCGGAAGCTCCTGTCGTCGCCCGCCAGGAATGCCAAGCGTGTGGGCTTCAGTGGCTCAGCAAGCAATGTCTTCACATGGAGACCTCCAAATGTCCTGATCCCAGCGCCTGGGCGGTCACCGAGCGGAGAGACACCGACGAGACGCCGAAACGGACGACCGGTCGGTATGGTGGTCGGTGTCACGTCCGAGGGTGTCAAGCCCAAGGGCAGAGTCCGAGGGCAAGTGGCATTGGAAGAGGTCTGTGAGGAAGATCCCTCAGAATTTGTTGGAAAGCTTATTTGATTATCTACTATAAGGTTTGGATGTTAGAGGTGAAGCCAAGACCGCGATGTTTTCTGCTTCTGACCTCCATTTGGACCGGTCGTGTTCCTTCCTTTGTGTACGTCGTTCCACTCGTTGGGTCGTTCCACTCCGGGCTGTTGTCAGCCACTCTTGGTCGACCATCCATGCCCGGTATACATGCAAGTGACCCATGTGACCACTTGACCCATCCGGCCTCACATCACCTTTTTTGCGGTCTCCCAAGTGATGGCCTAGGAATGACGAATCCTGTCAAGGAAACCTCGGTCGCATCTTTTTTAATAGGGGGTCCCTGAAATCGGGGGGGGTCCGATCTTTAATAGGTACCCATAGGGTCCAGGTACCTCGTTTTCGGATGGTCGAACGTACAAAACCAGAGGATGGTCGTTGCCGGGGGGTCTTTCAGGACATCCGAGCAACGGATGGTCCTGGACCAGGGGTGCTCGGGATTACTTCTTTCACGGAAGGCAAGACACTGCTGCCTGAGTCGATCTCCACATCTCCGGCCGCGTCCTCGGACGACCGTGCGCAGCGAATGAGGCTGTGGGAGCAGTGAGGTGCAAAGGAAGTACTTGACGCCCAAGCACCTTGGTTGAAGCGAATGGTCAAAGCACCTTGGGTGCCAACCAAAAACCTCCAAAGGCGGGCACAGCGCAGCTGGGAGCAGGGTGGTTTGGCAGTCTGAAGTTCAAGTCGTGGAATGCTGAGTCGCATCTGTGCGGAACTGCAACGTTGCACCAGTTCTAGTGTTGTCACAGTGTTGTCCATGCTTCTTGGATTGGTTGTTGGTTGCTCCAGGGTGCCCTAGGTGCCCAGGTGATGGAGCCAGGAACCGACAAAAATCGCCAGATCAAGGAGTTTCCCATTCGGCCTCCGTTTTCGTATCGAACCGCGAACCGGGTCGGTGGGACGACCGGGGCCCGGGTGCCAAGAGTGGTGCCAGGGTCGGGTCGGTCGTCATACCGAACCGTTTCGCAGGTACGACGAAGTCGGTGGAGGGTAGACGCAGGATGGACCGACCGGACCGATCACTCCGACCGACTTGCCCACCGGACACAGGCTCAGAACGGTCGGTTCGGTTCGGCATGTTTTGTCCGCTTCCGACACGAAGAATGGGACTGGAAGGATGTTTTTTTTTATCCAACAGTAATTAATCAGTAAACCTGAACTTGTTGGGCCAAGACCAGGAGTACAGCAGAAGTGACCTTTACAACATCAGGAGATATGCAGCACCCTTTAATGTATAGGTTTTTATCGAAGATTCCAGACATGGAGTGTCTTAGATTTGATTTTGGAGTAGAAACGGAGGATCCGGATGATGTGTGTTCCATTAATGTTGCAAATTCCCGAAGCATGATCAAGACAAGATTGACTGCTCTTGGCCAATTGGGCAATCTCCAGACCTATAAAGTACATAATAACTAATTTGGAAGTATCATGTCATCGGGAACAACGTATATAGATCTAAACATTCTGAAACCCAAGCAACCAGAGTAAACATTATGTTTCCTCAAACAACCACTTGCTATGCAAGAGATATCAATGTCCATGTTGAAATAACCATGTTGTTTCTGTCCGGGCACGGGTTTGATGCCTTGATTTGCTTGGTTTGTGATCTTCCACTCAGGCAACATCCCGATCCATTGGTACCTGAGCAGTATCTTCCTGAGAGCCCCCACGTGTAGCAGATCGTCATGGCCAGGGCCAGCTAGCGTAGCCAATCGATGTGTGCAGCCTGTGCACGATGCATGATCAGATGGAGTACGATCAACCTAAATTTGAAGAGAGAAGCAATTGTGCTTGGAATATTGAACCTTGCAAGCATATAGTATTGTTTCAGATGGAAGTGAACATTTGATTTGGTTGTTTTGTGTGGGAGAGGGCATGAGAAACCCAGCATGTTTGGGGAATCAGGTCGTGATGAGCCGGGCAGTACCCTCATTTGCTGAGCAGGGCAGAACCACCATGCGCTACAGTCCGTCGCCAGGGACGCCGTCCCACCACTGCCCTCTTTTTTCGTCACGCATCGAACGGAGAACGGCCACAGCGATCCCTGAGACCCCAAGCTCTCTTTCGCTAGGACCGGAGCCACACCAACGGCCTAACCCTAGGGATCCAGTCGTACCGAACCTCAGGTACGGCACCTGGACCCGACCAGGGCACCCACCCCAGTCCCACCTATCCTAAGAAGGTACGACTGGATCCCCAGGGTAACAACAACGACTATTTCCCGGATGGGATTCGGTAGGACGCACGACCCGTGCCATTGGCACCGTCTCATGTCTTGGAGGAAATCACATAAGCCCGGACCTGAGGTTCGGTACGACTGGATCCCTAGGGTTTGTGTGTGTGTGTGTCGTTATTCCGAAATCAGAAAGGACTGCTCCTTGCCCAATTCTCCCAACCTGAAAGGTGTTCCATGAATCAAGCATCAAGCAAGGACTGCTCCAAATCGCAGGGCTTGTGACCTTTGCGCATCGAAACAGGATTCCTTTCCGCATCGTAGCTGGAGCAACAGCCCGGGTGTTTTCAAGAAACCGGAGTTTGAGCACCATGCACCATGTTTATGATGTTTATGGGGTCAGCAACCCCAAGCTCTTTCAGTGTTTGCCTCCCCAGGAACACGAAGCACGCGGAAAAAGAGGCTTCCCATCAAGAATACATCACGCAAAGGAAACACGACCAGTGTCGTACAAACTTGGCAGTTCTGCACACATTCGTCGAGCTAGCAGTTGAGCTAGGCTCTACTGACTCGAACAAGAGATTAAAATCCCTGGAATGAACATGGAAGTGGATGGCCTTGGAAAACCATTTTCCTCCAAAGTACCTTTAAAAAATGGGGCATGATCCCATAAAAACAGGTAAATAAATTGTGCTCATTTTCCGAGCTTTGAGACTCCAGGTACAAACCGGGGGGGTTCCACTTTCATGTTAGTTCTAGGGAGTGTAATCTGTCTAGAAATCCACCGTCTCGCCCACGTGACGCTCCACGTGTTTTTCCGTGTGTCGTCCGCGGTCAGAGTGGTGCGCAAAAAACGAGTCGCTGCGCTGCGCTGCGCTGCGTCGGACGGGCGTAACTTCCGGGGTCCAACGGGCGAGCGGCATCGAGCCCAGCCGGGTTCCAGTCCTACCTTTCCGTACACCGACTTCGTCGTACCTCTTCAGGTTCGGTATGACTGGACCCTCTAAACCCTCCCCAAACACCTCTTAGAAGGTACTTGAAGCCCATCCGGGTTTGTTTTCCTTTAGCGATGCGAGGCTAGACCTCAGTGCACGCTAGACCTCAGGAAAAACAAAGCTCCAGTCCTATAGCTTTCTGTTGAAGGTGCCACGGGAAGTCTAGCCGAGGATCTGGGCCGGGCCAGGTGCCCGCGGCAATGGTAGTGAATGCAGCGTCCCCGCGCTTTGAGCTTAGACCATGCACGTGGACACCGATCATTTACCCAAAATGACACGACCAGCAGTCACTGAGCGCGGGGTGTCGAGCGAGCGATCCATGGAGGTAGGAGTTGGGTGCGATCGAACTGGTCACCGAAAACGGCGGATGGGACCCAACAGCACTCCGAGCGACATGTGACTCCAATGGAAGTAACACCCAAACACTCCATGGGACTGCCATGCGGATCAGGCCAGGGGTGGTTGGAGGGGTCAATGTATATGGCATCCCTAAGGGTCCAGGACCATCCAAATCGGATGTCCTTTGACCCCCCGTTCGACCATTCTCGGGAAGTACTTTCACGTCCAAGACCATCCTCAGGAGGTACCTGGACCCTATGGGCATATGATACGGCAGTTTCATGGAGTGTTCGGGACATGAAGTAACTATTCCAGTCCCAGTCGCATGGTTTTTCTTCGATGCTCCGATCCCATGTTGTTCCGATCCATCGACGCCAGATGAGGATACCACTACCTGGAGTCTCAAAGTCTCAAAGTTCTTTAGAACATCGGTGTGTATACCAGGACCCTCCGACCCTCGGGGTGCCCTGTCTGGAAGCCGAACGGCCGGTAGTGTGGGGAAGTTCATTGGACACCCCTATGTCCCATGTTCTCAGGTACTGGGTCAGATTCGAGGTACTGTTTTCTTCCCCAACCTGGCACCATCCCACCCCGGCAACCAATGGCCATTGCATCTTGCAGGCATTTATGAGGCCTTAGAGTTGCGCGATGGAGACAAGCGACTGCTGGGCAAGGGCGTTCAAAAGGCCGGGCAGAGACTGCGCGAACGTTTCGGCGTGATGCCGAGGGCCATCGATGGCTTCGTAGGGGTACAAAAGCCCAAGGATTATGGTCATGGATTGTATACCAGCAGTTCCAAAGGGGTGCTTGGATAGGGATGCCCAAGTCAAGTGGATGCCCTTGTCACATCCACTCATTGGATGGGTCTTAAAATCACCCCGACATGTGACTCCTGGTACGTTGACCCTTAAAAACATCATATAAATAAGATTTAAACAGTCACCCCAATGTAATATTCCATATACCTGGATGGTTAGGAAAAGGACACTCCAGTGAATTGCAGTGTCTCCCACCGTCTCCCACCCTCAAGTTTGTCATAGCCGACTCCTCATCAACTGGTGGCCGTGGTGAGTGACCGGGATCAGGGCTTTGTTCATATGGGTTCCTTCCTTCGAAGAGGGTGGTGGCTATGGATTCTTAGAGTGTCCTTCCCAAATGCTCCATGTAGGTCAATGATATGACTCCGATTATATACAAAAATTCAGTAAGAACACGTAAGAACCAGCTTCTTCAAAGTGACCTTTTGAAGGTTCCTAAGTGACACTTGGGAGACTTAAGTGACCTCAAACCAGGTTATCAAGTACGGTCACTTTGAAGAACCAGGAACATGGCGCCATATGAACGAGTTTTTGGTCGCCCAACAAGCCCTCGCAGAGGCGGTGGCCAACGTCAACGAGATCATCGCGCCAAAGCTGATTGGCATGGAGGTGCTAGAGGGGGATGGGCGGCGACTTGAAGCATCGACCTGAAGCGAAGATGGACGCCAATGTGTTCGCAGTGGAGATGCCGAAGATAGAAGATGAAGAGTTTGTATGTTCAACAAAAGCTTCTTAACGCAAACCATTTAACCTGCATTTAACCTGGATCCGACTCATCCTCAGTTCGCGACCTCTTTGGTGTTTCTGTTGGTGACCTGTAAAAGCCGGCCCATGACTGTGGACCGAACGGATCCAAGAAGGTCACAAGCTCCTGCGAACCAGGAAGATCTCTATCCGAACCTCCTGCGCCATCGATGGGACCTGCATGAAAAAGTCCGAAAAAAAACCAGACGCTCCATGGGACTGCCATACATGCCTACATTGGGGTGGTTTGAGGGGTCAATGTAGGCATATATGCCATACATGGAGTGTATGGGTTCTGAACAGAAACTTCTTCTTTAAATCTCTTTGGCGCGCAAAAGGCTGGTGTTTGGGTGCGCGCTGGCGCTCGACCATTTCGGGAGGAATGCGGCAGGACGGAACGGCCAAAACCGCCGTCCCCCCGGTGGAGCGGACGTGAGACCAGGTGACGAAACAGACGGAGATCGACAAACTCATGGTGGAGACGCTGGCACCTCGACGAGAAGGATGTCCCGTTTCCGAGCGAACGACGCGTGCGTTCCGGGGCCTTGGGCGGTGTTTTCTCCGAGATTTCGCCCCAAAGGAGCCTTTTGGATTAGAAGGTCTGTGCTGTATGCATGCCTAGCCTCCAAGCAGAGTCGGAAGCGATGCGGAGTTGTTCAGGGAGGGGGGCAGAAAAGAGTACTTTTCAGGGGCTTTTCAATGAAAGAGGCTGGATCATGCTGGATCCATCAATGCCTCCCAGACCAATGTATATATTTACTAACATCTTTTTACCGTGGGTGGTTGTTGGGGGGTCAATGTAGGCATTTGGAAGCCGAAATGGAATCCTCAAGAAGCGGCAGCTGCCAGCCTCTCCCACGTGAACTGCAGGATTTTGAGTGTTGACCTGCGGCCGCTCAAAAACATGGGTGCCGTCGAAACACCTTTGGTTAGACCTTGGTTAGCTGTGTGGGTCCTGAGGTTCTGTTGTGTGAGCCACAGCCAGCTGTGTGTTGTTTCTCAGTGTTTGCTCCAAGATGTCCGATAGCACGCAGAACTTGTTGAGGGGAACACTCTTGTTGAGGAGCAAACGGCAAGGATGGATAGACAAAGAGCAAGCTGAAGCTGGTGCCGTGCTGAAGCTGAAGCATTGGAAGGTGCCATCAATGCCATCAACTTCTGTCGCCTCGTCTCGCCAGTTCTACCCTCAAGCCGAAGCTGACACTCTGTGTACCAAGGATGGCTCTCAGAATGAGTGGGGCTGGTCCAAGGCCAAGTTGGGTGCCAATGCCATCTTGGTCCCTTGGTCGGCAGGGGGCTAGGTCTGGGATGCCATCTGGGATCCAGGTCACTGGGTGACCACTCAGTTGCAAAGAGGAATCCACCGACCTTGCTTGAAAGAAAACACGTTGACAGTGTATGGTGCGCAGAAAATGCCGCTGCGCCTCCACACACCCTTTTTCAATCTTCTTCAAGTGGGGGTTGCACGAGGCTTTGTCACATGACGCCTGCTGATGGTGTTCACCTTGCAAATTTAGCGGGATCGGATGGTGTGATTTTTGATGTGTCTATGAGGAATCATTTGTTTTTTCCGGTTCCTTTCTTCAGCAAATGCTTAGCATGCCCATCTCGACATGCTGCGAGATTCATCCCAATTCTCTTCTTTGCAGGGCTGGTAGGGCTTGGAACTTAGCCTTTCCTTTGCCACCTCGATCCTGTGCCCTGTTCCAGCTCTAGGCAGTCTCCATGGCCGTTTGCCGCGCAGGAGACGGGGAGACCCCGTGGCCCTTTCTCGGTAGACTGGTCGATGTCCCGAAGCTTCATGGCCGGTCCTATTTGAGCTACACACCCACATCGTGGAACTCCAAAATGAAGGGGTTAGTATAGAGGAACTGTAGTGTTTTCCTATTGTTTTCCTTGCTGGGTCAGAGATGTTTCACAGATGTTGTCAATGGTTTTTCAGGTTCCAAATCTTCATCTTCCCTGGGTGTAGTTCATCGCCAGGACGAGATATGGCACGATGACAAAACCCGACAAACCGCAGTGCAGAGTGGTGGAGGGGGATTTGGGACGCCGCAACATGCGAGGGACCACAACAGAGAGGGAAGTTTGGGTTAAGCTTGCGAAACTGAGAGAGTCAGACGTAAAGTTGCTTTTGCTTTTGCTCATCAACTAGAGCTAGGGCTATAGTCATTGTTTGACGGCTTAGATGAGACTAGGACAGTTTATTCAAAGCTGCCAAAGCTGGGTGCAGACAGTGACCTTCTTGCAGACCTCTTGACCCTTTGTCCCTATCAAGTGACCCTTTGGAGGCTTAAGTGACTTCAAACCGGTGGATGAAAAGGTCAGAACCGGTGGAGGTCGTTGGCTGTTTCGCCTGATCGCAATACAGATCTTTGTGAGAGAAACAATGACCGGACACCTCTCTGTATACGTGCATGAATGCTGTGGGACACTGCACCAAATACAAAGAAAACCCAACAAAATCCATTCCAAACCATTTCAGAAATGGGAACGACCGGGTTTTGTATAAAGCCCGTAGTAAAACACTGGTTGATCGGGATTCAGACTCAGACCACTAATCAATCTAGTGATTCCAATCCCAGGGAAACCAAACACACCTGGCAGCCAGGTCACATCGGGTGTCTCGTGACGACCAAACAACGTGACCGGTCCATAAGCATTCGGAACAAATAAACAAACAATATACACGACTCCCCACAAAAAGGGGCTCCCAAGACTTGGATCCTCCAAACTGTTCCAAACCTATCCTCAACACCGTTGACAAGTAGGTGTGTGGAGCCCTGACAAAAACTCCTTTGCGCATGAAGAGGTCATGTCCTTTTCCAGACATGTTGCCAAGCACAGCCACCTGGTTCCAAGTGACACTTGATCCTCAAACAGACCTGTTAGGGACTCCAAGGTCAGGTCATAAAGAAGCAGGGTATTTGTCCCAAAACCTCAGAGCCGACATCGGCGACAGGAGCTGCCGCCAGTCGGATGCCACTTTACAAATATATCGCTAGGACTGCGGTCCGTTCGACGCGTTGCAGGCGTTGGGCGCATGGCGGACGGGACGACCTTTCGAACGGACGTGGGCGGATGGAGCGACTGCAAGTCGACTTGATGCATGCGTTGAGGTGCACTTGTTGTGGCGAAGATATATAGGTTATATGGGATTATAATTGCCACATAGATTCAGGGGGGAAGACAGGAAGAACCATAGTTGAGATTTGATTGAAAGTATACGGGCAATTCAGAAGCAAACAACTACGTGGATTCAGTGCAATCAGATGCTGATACTAGAAGTCTAGGTCTCACCTGGTCTCCTTTGAGCTTCAGGATCTCTGGAAAGCCCTATGACAACTTCGTGATGCCTGTGCCCTCCTTCAACGTCCGGGACCTTGGAACTTGGAACAACACCCACCAGACGTCACCTGAGTGTGAGGCTGCGATGCGACAGAGGCTGCAGTGGAAAGACTAGACGTCGACTGGTCTCCGTCATGTGTCAAATCTGCCGTTTTCGTGAAATCGAGAAGGTGTACCATCCCTGCCTCACCTTTTGGACCTTTTCAACATGTTTGTTTTTTTCAACGGACTGCCATGCCATCGATGTTTTTTTTTTCCGCCGGTTGAGACTACCCTGCCATCATCACCTGAGACTGGCACGGTGCAACTTCGATTCATTCCGCCAGCCATTCCGCATCGCGATGCATCGCGTCCCGTGAATTGGTGTCCCATGAACCCTAGGCATCCGCCTTCTGCGAAGGTGGGACGACCGGGGCCCGGGTGCCAGAAGGCTCCCATACCGAACCTGAGGAGGTACGACGAAGTCGGTGTAGGGGAAGTCGCCATCTCCCCTTCCATGCCGAAGTCCGTCTCCCCGGGCCGTCGGCGCCGAGGTGATCAACGGCGGCAGCCACGCAGGAAATCGCTTGGCCTGCCAGGCACCGCCGGTCGAGTCGGAGTCGGAGGCTGATCCTCTTCGTTCGCCCCCTCCCACAGCACCGGACTCTGCTCGACTCATCTGACTGCCCTCCCGGTTGGGTTTCTTCTCGCGCTTCACAGCGATGTTGGAAACCGGAGTGGACCGAAAAGCAGCATGTGGCAGCTTCGGGTTCGTCGCCCTACTTTGGCTGGATGGGAAGGCGTTGTCCACGTTGGAAACAACTACCTGCTAAACCTTATAACCACCTGCTTGTTGTCCATGTCGCTAATTGTTGTCTTTTGGTATGCAGGGTAGCAGGTATATATACTTGACATACAAAGGATCGCCCACCAGGACCTGGGATCCGATCAGATCGGCGAGCATCGAGGCATCGAGTCGCCATCGCGGTGCTCTTGAGATCCGGGCATCAACTGGGGTGGCAACGTCTAGTTCCCCGTACCAGCTTCAAGCGCTGGACCAGTCGAGCCCCTGTGATTGTTGACAGACACAACAACACCAAAATATCCAGTTGTGGCCACTTAGGATCTGAGTCCATCAAGTTCCTATCAGTCCATTCCAAGATCCAAATCGGTAAACACCTGGATTTTAGCACGCCGCCTCGATGCTTCTTTGTCACTTAAACTTTTCCCAACAACAATGCATGTCCCTTTTACTACCCGCCGTGCACCGCGGTCGCGTCACTGTCCACCCGCTCTTTAGGAGTTCATGATCCTGCCGGTGGGCGCCGCCTCCTTCCGCGAAGCCATGTGCATCGGCGCCGAGGCGAGACCGGTGTGGCGCCATCCAGGCGGAGGAGACGATGAAACCGTGATCCTTTCCGGTGAAGCCTTGGTTCAGGCAGTCGGGACAGATCTGGAGGTGCTGTCAAGTTCCAAACCCTATAAGGGTCCAGGACCATCCGAATCGGATGTCCTTTGGCCCCAAAGACCATGGATGGAAGTACTTTCACCTCCAAGACCATCCTCAGGATGGTCCTGGACCCTTAGGGAAAAACAAGGATGTTTGGGGATTCACCGTTGTCAAACGCTTCGTCAGAAATCCATGGGGCCTTGGATTTGTGGCCGAGAAAGATCGGTGTCTTCTTGAAAATTCCGATTGTGAGTGCCTGGGTGCGGAGGTCTGTTTCCTTGTGCAGGACTGGAGCCCAAGCGAGTAAGCTATTGTAAGCCATGGAAACTCCACATGAGCACCTATTCAAAACTGTTCGTATGTAGCTTAAAGACCTTAAAGGATGCTAGACATCATGCTTTAACATGTCTTAACCTGCTACTCTTAATGGTAAGGATAACCTCAAGAGCGATAGGGTCGGGAACAAACAACAATACCATCCCATGTTTGCATGCATCACTAATTCTGCCATGTGTTTCCATGAGTTTATCACTGCAGACCTTTTCCCAAGTTCTTTCCATTATGCAGTGTCCATTTCTCCTTGATATATATATATATCATTGATTTAAGGATGTATCGTTTGATATATATTAAAAATAAGTATGACGATATACCTGCAACTTCCTCAGAGTTCTATTTTTCTTTCTGCGGCGTGAACACATCTTTGGAGTCACAGCCTCATATTTGAGTCTGTGGATGTTTCTCTAGTTTTCTGATTGTTTTAAATATTCCACCGGCGTTTATACACAAGCTAAGGGTGCTTATTACCAAAGGCGTTTGTTTCCCGATGTTTTTTTTTAAGCGGATGTTTTTTTTGTTGCGGATGTTTATGTGGTTCACAGACCTAAATTTTGAACCACCGACCAAAAAACACAACCACGAGGTTGCAGGTATATATTTGGGCTTCCTCAGACGTTGCAAGTTTTTTGTTGCCTCAAAACAGCTGGATTTTTGCAGTTGTTGTCAGCTTGGCAAACGATACGAGTGCTGATTCCCAAAATCATCTGAAACCTTCAAGAATGATAGGGTCGGCAACAAAAACAAAACCACCCTTGAACAACTCACATCCTTTGCCACATTACATGCAAGGGGTCTAGATCGCCGCAATGCTTCAAAGTGACAATGTCACGATTTGGCCGGGGGTGCCGGGCTGGTGAAGGTCTATCACAACTTGAAGAGCGTCATTAAGAAGAAGTACGGCCAGGACGATCCGGCAAGGTTCTCTCATGTGGTGTATGTGGGCTTGGTAGCTGGTGTGAATCAGGTGAGAACATCCCTACCCAGGAAAAGTGGATAACCCGCAAAACCTTTTTGGGGATTGGTTTCCCCTACTAAAGACAAGCAGTGTGTGTGTGTGTGTGTCTGTGCTCGGTACGGGAATCTGAGGCAGTCAGACTCTGACATCTGCCTGTTTTAGAAGCTTGGGGTGATTGTAAATCCTCTACCAGCACGACCTTGTGTATCCAGGCGAATTGAAGTGCAATTTTGATCACTGATTAGAAAGCGCCTGTTGCTGCTGTAGCAACCTTAGACCTTAGCATTGCTCGTTTGTCAGGACCCCTTTTGTCCTTTCGGTGGGTCACCTCTACTTGGTATATATATATATATGGGCGCATCACCTTGCAGCTCTTGATGTTTGTGCGAGGACGCATGCAACGTGGGCGACGAGGGCGGCGTTGCCCTCAGTGTGTTTTGCAAGCAGCAAACAGCCCGTGCTGAATTGATGAGCACCAGCTGATTTTTGGATGTGTTTTGCATCTCCGGTCCCAGAAGTACCCAACCGCTTCGGTTCGGTACGAAAACGGATCCCTTTCCCTACACCGACCCGTTTTCGGTCCCGAACCGCGAACCGCTTCGGTTCGGTCCGACCGACGAGGCTTCGCCCCGAGCGTCCAAGACAACAACGAGGCCGGACGACGGACGACGGATCGGTCCGTCGGTGCGTCGCCCAACTGCCCGGCGCCCCCAGAGGGTCGGAGGTGGGTTGTTTGGTTGCACCTCATCTTCGTCCCAACGTTCCAAGGTTTCTCCTGGTTCTGAACCAGTGATTCTGTCCGAGAGACATGTGGGTGCAGTTTTGGTCAGGCCAGAGACGTGTGTACAGTTTACACCAGCAAATGTGTCCAAATCCTTGACCTGGTTTTGCCAAAGGGTGATTTGATGCTATTTGGATGTATGTGTGTGTTTTTTTTGTTTTTAACAACTATATTCTTAAAGCAAATCCAACAGTCATGACATGTTGATTTATGCATCCTTTTTGTTACGGAGGCTTCAAAGGTGTGACAAGGTTCCCCTAAAGTTCACCATATTTTAAACAAAGAGAGTGACTGGCTGCCTGTACGAATCCTGACGAATCCTGCAGGTTGAAACCAGCATAGCCTTCCAAAATCACTTAAAAAATCGTCGACCTAGTCCGATCCAAAGTCTTTAGGTCAAAGAAAAAACCACGGATTTCATTGACCCCTTCGGCCGACGAACACGGAGGTGTCAATGGCAAGCACTGTTTGCTTCGCGGCGCCGCGACTCCGAGGGGACGAGCGCGACTCCTTCGGGGCTCGAGTTCGTTCGCCGAAACCTCCGGCGCGGCGGATCTGGGAGGCCTTGGATGTGCTGATGGAGGCGATAGAGAAGTCCGGCCATGCCGCAAAGGCCGAGCATTGGCGCAAGAGAAATGGAGAACACCGCGGTTTTCAGGGAGCACTAGGGATCATAGAGGGATCATTATATGGATGGATGATGATGGATTTGCTTCTGTTGTTTTCAAGATTGTCCACTCTTTGGGGGGTTACATCATAATATAAATTGGAACATCGTATGGATCGATCTCAAAAAATGGATCGCATTGGAAGAACCTGAAGCATCAAGGGATCCTATAGGATCAAGAGGGTGCCCAGAGGATCCTAGGCAGCCACTGTATAAAGACTCATGACTAAAGTTTCAGTCAAACTGGAACCACTGGTACTCCCAGCAAACTATAGTGGTTTGCCTGGATGCCCTGGGTTGGCGATCATGCAAAACGCCATCAAGATTTATACAATTCTTTTTTGGATTTCAGGAGCATCCAGCGACCAAGTTTTGCTGCAGATGGATTCGCATCCTGTGGACCGTTGGACTCGACGGGGTCCGGAGTAGTCATGGGCCGTTGTTCCGAAGGAAACCTAGGGAGTGACGTGAGTGCAAGTATCATCAGGCGCGCCCCCCGGCGGCATCAAGCCACCTTGAGCAGACAGGTCGGCATCGTGCCTTTTGGAGCATCCAGATACCACCCATCCTGCGTCTGACAGATCTTCCGATCAGTTGGGCGCCGGAGTTCGGCCGAGCTCGAGCAAGCTGGGCGGCAGAGATTCTTCCAGTCCTCACTAGGACTCCTGCGGGGCGGTTTTGGGGTGTAGGGGGGAGGGTTTCCTTCCTTTCCCTATACACCGACTTCGTCGTACCTCCGAAATGGTACGGTATGGCTGGACCCGACCGGCTGGCACGTCACCGGCCCCCAGGACTCGTCCCACCTTCACCACCGAAGGAAGCGCGCGGTTCAGTACGCGGTTCGACGTAAGAGCCGAGACGGTTAGTACGTCGGTGACCCGTCACGGTCTGGCCAGGTGAAGATCGGTACCGACGTGGCCGCTTCGGAGTTCTACAGCGGCTCGGTGAGATCCGTTGGTCGCGAACCACGGAGCACGGAGAAGGAGCACGCGAAGGACGCGAAGAGGTTGAAGAATTAAGGTGAAGCTGAAACATCATCTTTAATCCATATCATGGTTATGGTAGGGAAGTGGGATGACATGGGTGGTGTTCCCTAAAACTTGGGATTATGCGCTGACTTGGTCGGCGTTGAGTATTGATAATATCTGTTGCAACATGTGGTTTCCTGGTGTAGTGGAGGCTGGATGCACTGGAAGCGGCTGTGGGTTACTATGGCTCACCTGGACCCAGCCAGGTGAGTTCATGGGAATCATGGGCGCCCCCCAGGACTCCTATAATAAAAGGCGCCCCCTAGGCCCGGGGGGGGTCCTCGATCTTGGTGGTTTCACCACGGGAACTCACCGGTGGACCCGATCGACCGGATCTGAGGCGCTGAGACCAAGAAATATGACTTGGACTTCAAGAACCCCAGCAGTGGGGAGCACTGAGTCAGTGGGAGGGCTGGGAGAACGAGTGGGCTGGGAGAACGGGGCGCTTTCCGGGGATCTGGGAGGACTGGAGGCCGAATGGCGGAGGTGGGAGACGGAGGGAGCCGACCACCTTTTTTGGCGCGGAGGGTTAAGCTTTATTCTGCAAGAGCCTCTTGGGCTAGGGGGATTGGAGAGACAAGAACAGGTGGACAAAGGTTTAACCTATTTTAACCTTATTCCAGGGAACTGGCTCGGGAGCCAGACGACTTTGGGCGGCTTATTGTGCAGAAGGATGGGGATGTGCTTGGAGGCACCCAGTGGAGGAGGCCGGATGTTGTGTTTGTACTTGATGTTTGCGGTGGGACCCAAACTGTATAGCGTTCTATTTGTGTTTCCGGTCAGGCCTAGGGTTTCACACGATGAAGTATCATGAAGTGTTTGTTCTTGTGCGACGTGATCGGTCTTCAAATCAATCTCTCCAGGCCGGCAGGCCCCTCAGGTCACAACTTGTAGGGCAACAGGTGTATGAAAGATGAAAGGATGTTCGAACTATTCACCCTCTATGGATCCACCCTCTGAGCTACGGCGGTTTTACAGTGGATAACCTTCAACCGGACGGATCGTTCCAGTCTTCCAACCCTTTGGGGGTGCCTTCCGACGCGACGCACCAACCCCCCCCTCGGGATCAAAACCCGGCAGTGCCCAGAGAATTCACTCCCCCCCAAGTTCTTGGTCCATGACTCTACGAATTGGATGGGAGCTTTATGAACTGCCTTATATGTTCGAACATTGTTCTACCACCTTTCGGTTGAAGAGCAGACGTCCACCTTCGCTCCAGACCGCCCCCCTCCATTCGGGTGAAGCTGGGCTATGTAGGGCTGGTTTTGGCTGGGGCTAGTGTCCACCTGACAGGCCAACCCTATGGGACAAATTGGAGTATGATGCAAGTTGCACACTTGCGCTCTACAAGGCCCAGACAGCATGAAGAAGACTGCTGATGAGATGATCGCCTACTACAAGGACCCCGATGTTCAGCTACATGTGCAGGTGTTCACCGACCCAGGTTGACCATTTGTACAGCCCGTAGTCGGCGCATGTCTGGGGCGCAGGCACAGCCAAGCCCAGCTGGGGGGTCCAGGAGCATTCCGTTGCTCGGAGGTCCAAAGCTCCAGGCAACGACCATGAAAGACCTGGTTTCGTATGTACGACAAGTTCCGGTAACGACCATCAGGAGGGAACAACCTAGACCCCTACTATTGGTAAGGTGGGCTCATGAGTCGACTAAGTTCACAACTGGGACTCGAACACTGGAAAACATGTCCCGGTCCGGGGAATCTCTCGGAACATGTCCGAAAACAGGTCGTTTGGGTACCGATGGGTGCCGATTTTGGTACTTTCCAGTGTCCAGAGGTAAGACTTCATTTAATGCCTCGAGGAATTCATCATGGAATAGGAGTTCAGCACCTGTTTGTAGAAGAACATCGTCATCCAAGGGGCCATCCACTTCCATGATTCTTTCAGGCAGTGTAAGGGACTTGGTCCTTGTCAGAGAAACATCCCCAACTACCCCAAAATTTGTGTGAGCTGTGGGCAGCACCCAGCGCTTCAAGTGGTTTTTGAAGCGTGGTTGCTCTGAAGAGCGCAGTAGGCGTGGGCGTGAAGCAGCGGTAGAGCGCTGAAGGACTGGATCAGCAAGTACCCCTTCGTCTCCATTGAGGATCCCTTTGACCAGGCTGGATGTGCACCAGTCCTCGCTGAAAGAGAACTGTACCCATGTTTTTCATTGTTTGTCCACTTTTTTGCAGCAGCTTGAAGTACGTGATGTTGTCTCGTGCAAATCAGTCGGCTTCAACATCACACGATGTGAATCCATCGCCGTGATGGATACACCGCCCAGTGGCGGCGAGGATGTGAATATGCCATGGCATCCATCGCACATGCATCGCCCGTGGCCCAGGATGATTGGGATGCTTACTCCAAGTTCCAAGCAGAAGTTGGTGATCAGGTCCAGACGCTGGGTTACAGCGCGCTGTATCCGGCAGAGAGCGAGAGAGCTCGGTGGCGAGAGGGCGAGAGCGAGCGGTTTTCGTGGAAAACACGCTTGGTGTGGGTGACAAGGGAGAGGAGAAGAGGTTTGAGTCAGGCGATTTGGTCTTAGGGAAAGGCAGAGAGGGAAGGATGCATGAAGGATATAAGAGTTGCCCCGTGGAAAACTAACATGGACCCTGAAAACCATTGGTTGGTAGAGGAAAACAGTCTTTCAGGGGCCATTGTCAGGGTCAACACATTAGTTTTCGGGAGTGTGGGTTTATGAGGTCTAATTATAATGGCTCATGATCGGGAAATTCGTTGGCCTAGTGTGATTGTGGAGCCACAGATCGTCCAAAAGCCCGGACAGACATGTCTGCTTCTGGAGGACGATCGCCGGAACTGGAAGGGTCGGTCCGGGAAGTGGGCGGTGGATCATGGATCCCAAGAGATCTGTATACATGTATTTAGTATAAATAGAAACAACCCAGGCCCAAGTAGAAACAGTTCTACTTGGAACCTATGGCTTTTTTAGGCTTTTTTGAAATCCTTTAGAATAGGAAGTGGCTGGCACTGCAAAAACAAGAAACACATGTCACTTGTTTCGGGGCTCCGTCCGTACATTCATTTAAAATTGGTGGGAGAAGTGATGGATGATGAATGATGGGCTCCGTTCCCACTTCAAATCAGATAGTACCTCCGTTTTGAAGGTGGTTGAGTGGGTTTGTGAGTCTAAGATGGTCTAACCACCTTCTTAGGAAATGGAATCGAAGGACGTTTGGAGCCCGAACGGGGCATGAGATCGTTTCGAAACGAATCTCGTTCACTCAGGATTGTGGGTGTCTCGGCAGCAGTTGTTAGGGTAGGACTGTGGCAGAAGCTGCACTTCATGGGGCAGGAAGATAGGTTGACCATGGTTGACCCCTGAATTGATTTGGAGTCATGTATCATATGCCAGTCCCACGGGGTGTTTGGTGCATTCCGTTCAACCATTTGATATGTTTTTGGGTCTTTGGATCAAAAGATACCCTATAGGCCTCCGTTTTCGTACCGGCCTCCGAACCGAACTTCGGTTCGGTGAAGGTGGGACGACGGCCCGGGGTGCCAGGTCCTACCGAACCTGAGGAGGTACGAAAACGGGTCGGTGTCTAGGGAGAGGTCACACTCCGACAAAACTCCCGAAATCGAAGGACTCGACTGACCGGACGTTAAGGTATAGAACATGGGACGTGACATGAGCCCCTTACAAAACAGGTACGACTGGGGAAAATCGAGGTACGAGGTCCAGGTCGACTCCCTTGAGCATGGCACCCTGACTCCACCTGTTTTTGCCTCGAACGCTGCACCAGGTGTTTCGTCTTTTTTTCTGCCCAGGGTCCGGAGCGTCTGGCAGGGGAGGAAGTTCGATACCGCTGGCTTTTGCGGAAGGGATCGCTCGAAAGTAGACCCTTCAAGCTGCAATCAGCTGATTCCAACAGGTGCGTGGGGCCCTTTGTGTTCGCCGCGTTTCCCATGCTAAACGTACCCAAAACACCGGGTGTCACTTGGTCTGCAGACGTCGCAGACGTCTGTGTCGTTTGCCCCGTGCTGAGGCGATGATTTGTTGGTCACGAATCCCAAGCGAGTGGCTCGCACAGGACTGGCGGACGGCGACGGACTGAAGGAGACCGGTGGAGACCGTGGAGACGGCAGGAGGTGGCGGAGATGGATGATTCGTCTCCCCAGATCGGATGAAAACCACTGGGTGGTAGATGAGAATCGTCTGAATCAGGTCCATTTGAACGGTCCCATTGATTCGTCTGCAGGGTATAGCTCGGCTCTCATCGCTTCCGGAGGGTTCGGCGGTTCGGATCTGGATGGGAAGGTTTGTCCATATTGGCAAATATAGCTGTAGCTCCACCCTAGTAGCGTCCTCGCTACTAGCAGCTTCTTGTTCCTAGTAGTAAGGCCAGGAGCTACTAGCGACGTCCTTGCTCCTAATGGCGATGCCCTTAGTAGCTTCTTGTTAGTCCTGGCACAAGGCGAAGTCGGAGGAATCTTCCGGAAGCTGTGACAGCTGTGTGCAAGAGGGAAGGTAAGTCGTACCTGTCTTTTTTATGGGGTCATGTCATGTCCCATTTTGATTTGTCTTTGGAGAGTCCAGGTATATTAGGTTGTGGAAGACATGCCTGATGATAAGGAGGAGCATGATACCTTGATGATCACTATTTGCATCATAAACAGGCTGTGCCAAGGAGTGGGTGAAAGCAGGGCTCCCCCTGCTTCCCTTCCACCATCTCCTGGCCAAGGGAGGTACAATTCGGACACCTAACCCTTCTTAAACCCCCCAAAAAGACGAGTTCTGCGAGCCCTCTGCCAATCCACGCGCGGCACAGCTTCGTGCGGCACACCAAGGTGGAGAAGGCCTTGTCCGTGAAGGCTTGCAATGCCTTGCTGCTGAAGGCCTTGCTGCTGGATCCGATCAATATGAATCAAGAGTCTTAGAACTAACGACTTGTGCACCTCAGAGAAGCCAACTAGCAGGGAAGAGGTTGGAGCGGGGAATGGGTAGGCATTTAAGGTAGTAGCAGGCAAGTTGGCAACCAGCAGCAGTTGGGACAATGGCTGGTTAACTTTGTTGCACACAAATGGTGTGGAAAGAGCAGCAAAGCTTGATTCATTTTCGTTACTGTGTTTGGCATTTCTTTGGTGGCAATGTGATTCAAACAACAACTCCCAATGTTGTTACTTGAGTAATAATAGTTTGAGTCCGAGGGTTGTACACACTCCTACTTCACTTTCAAGAAGCAAATTCTTCCATCCTGCCACAGGGTTCTCATCTTTAAGAGCACGTCCTACGTCACACAGTGCAGTGGCCACCCACCCTTGCGTTCAGCCACCCACCCTTCATACATTCAGCAGTGCCCACCATGGTAGCAAATCCTCCCACCCCAATCTTTGGAACGCAAGAAAGCACCGAATTTGGAGATCGCATGGGCACACGGAACGCTGACAACACACGTATTGCAGAGTTTAAACATACGTAGCAATGGATTGGCAATACATGGCAATACGTATGATAGTATCAAGGAATGGTCACTTGTATACGGCTCACTGTGGCCTGTGCTGCATCATGCTGCATGAACCAGTCCCTAAATGACACCTTAAGCAACCTGTTTTAACAACATGAAAGCATGACATACCCTATGGATCCACTGGCACCTTCTTACGGTCATTGGACACGATTTATGGCGCCAGGAGGGTCACCTGAGGTACGGTGCCAGTGGATCCATAGGGCGTACTGTGTGCACGTGAAAATGAGTTCAACATAGTTCAACCGGATTTCAACTATCATTTTCACAGAACCTCCGGAAGTTCTTAGTCGTGGCCATGAGATCAGACCCATAAGGTCCGGTAGTGGTGCCATCCTCCAACCTTGCACTTTTGGACACCCTTCGCCTCCAACCTGGACCTGACTGCATGTACCCTGGAAAAAGGAACCCTGACCCTAAGAAAACAGGTCCTTGCACCCATGTACCTTGTTGTACCCATTGTCCTCTTCGTGCTTGAACCAAGTGTCGAGCCAGCTCTACATACTTCCTGACCCAACCCCGAGCCCTCCGTCGTCCGGTGTGGGGAACAGCGCCGGTCGCGAGGTGAATCAGATTGGCTCCGTGACGGAGGCCGAGAGTGGCAGCCGCGGCGGCGCAGACGACTGGATGGTCCCAGACGGCGCAGACATACCAGAACCCTCCATGCAAGGGGTGTCTATAGCCCCGAAAAGCTGTGATTCGGGGTGTCTGTTTAGACCACCCCTTGAGGGTCCTGGTATACAGTTGGGACACACTTTTTGTGGCATTCTCTTGGTCCTGGGAGACCTGCAACTGCGACCAGGTCAACAGTCCAACACCAGTTCAAGCAGCAGAACGACCACCGGACGGACTGGAGAGTCGGACTGCGGACTGGAGAGTTGGGCAAGCTTTCAGGAAGTGCTTCTTGGATCTTGGCATTTCTTGGCGTTTGGTTTGTGGATTATTAACCCTAATGCCTCCAGTCGTACCGAACCGCTTCGGTTCGGTGAGACGACCGGGGTGGGTGGGTGCCCTGGTCGGGTCCAGTCATACCGAACCTGAGGAGGTACGACGAAGTCGGTGTAGGGTAATAGACAGCATCCACCAGTCCATGAAACTACACGTTTCACAAGAACATAGATGATGCTAGATCATTATAATTTCTTTGTTTTGTGCACCATCCAACCCACCTATGGAATAACATCGAGAGGCTGTGACGGTAGACCTGAAATTTATGGGATGAGGTCCCGAAAACACTCTGTGTTCCTCTAAACCCTCCACTCTGCCGGGCTGGCGGTTACAGCTTATGGAGTTCACGAGCAACTTGCCACTCATTGGAGGGATTCTTCCAGGGCCAGGGCTACATCAGCACCCTTTTGTTTCACTCACTGTGTAGACTGCAGACCATCCATTTGTCATGTGAATATAAAAATACATCAGTTTCTTCATCCAGTGACCTGTTTTTTTCGGGTCCAAACCAGTGATCCCTCTACATCTGAGCCGAGTCGAGCCCTATCTCCTTTGCAACTCTCCACCCTTCACGTCCGTCCTCTCAACCACATCCAGCGCGCCCAAACCGCGGTCCATCTGGTCTCGTGTCGGCGGAGGCCATCGAAGCGGCCAGCATGTCGCAGTTCGCCGGCTGGGGGGTCATGGTCTCCCATCGCTCTGGTGAGACGGAGGAACCACGCGGCACGCGTGGCCGGGGCGGTGGTGGAAGCCCGGGGTGGAAGCCTGGGGTGGGGGGGTTAATAGGGGTGTGGACAGACCGGTGCTGTTGATATATCCATCAGAAAAGAAACAAAATTTGATAGTTTCTGACTACAGACTATTGTTAGACCATATTTGTGTCAGGACAAATCTGACACTTTCTGATTGTGAACTCCTTAAGAAGGAAGGAGATAGCTGTCAGATATTTTTTTCTGACACTGTCAGATTGTGCTGACAGTTTCGCATTTGAAAACTGGAAAGTCAAGAACATAGAGCACTCAACAAAGAGATCAATAAAAGGCACGCGGCTATGGCGCTCGGACAAGCACTGCACGACTGGGCCGTCCATTCATTTTTTTGCATGTTTTGTGTCAGCATGCAGCATTATCCTTGCCAGACTTAGCCAACTTTGCCAACTTAGCTGACTTAGCCAACTTAGCCGACTTGGCCGACTTAGCCGACTTAGGTGACTTAGCCAACTTAGGCGACTTAGGCAACTTAGCCGACTTAGCTCTAAGTCAAAGCTAGCTCTCCTAAGTTTGCTAAGGATTTACAACCTTTGCAACTCTTACCTAGTTCAAAGCTAAGTCAGCTAAGTGACTTACAGGAGATATGAGACTTATAACAATAATAGGTTATAAGTTATAAGTTATAAGTATGTTAGGATAGTTGCAGAGAGGAGACAGCTGTGCCTTGCCGACTCTATATGATCAATACATCATCCAAGTTTATCTATGACCCATTGGGCGAATACCGCCACCTGGGCACATGGATTCAAGCACCGCAAGCACGTGTGACGAACACTTAAGCCACCATGTTCGGTGGCTTTCCCGATGATATCATGACACAGTTCAGTTCCCACCTCAGATTTTTGGCAACAGGAAGATGCCATGACACATCACAACCATAGGTCCAATCTATCAAATATATGCATTATACGCAACACCAATTGATAGTGAAGAGCCTTTTGATGTCTATATACTATTTTTTGGTTTAATGCTGCTCTCTGGAATCCAACTGCCAATTGACAGTGTGCTAAGCTCTTGCACGATTTTTCCGCCTCTGCAAGAGGTGTGCCGTGCTGCAATATGGCCCGTGGGAGGTGGGAGCAGGAGAAAATCTTTGCGACGAGGCTTTCTTTGCGAACCCCCCAAGTCTTGACGCAGGCGCGCGTGCGATGTCTAGGCCACTTGGCACTCAGGTGACGATGCTCTGGGCCCTGGTCCGAACGGACATGATTTCCCTTGTCTCATCTCAATTGGGGCCAGTTTGGCAAATATGTATGTTATAAGGACACCAATTCGATGGAAGAACCTTGTCAAGAAAACAAACTACCGTCACCAGGGCGAGGAAGAGCGCATTGAAGTGTGGAAAGGCGCTTTTGGCCACCACTTCAACAAGCGTGTCACGGTCAGCACCTTGTATGCCCTTGCTCAGCTGCATTCTGTCGAGCTGCAAGTGCCCCGCTGGGACTACATAGGCGGTTCTCTACTTGGGAAGACCTTGTATCTGCAGCCCCGCCTACGCGGTATAGTGACGTGTCGCAGTGGTGGCAAGACCATGGCTTGACACACAACCAGGCGGTCGACGGCCTTGCGCACACGCTCGACCGGGAACACTATCAAGCCAGTGCTGCATGGTTTCTTGGGCTTGACCACCCTGCAGAACTTCACAAGGAAAAGGTGATGCGGTCTTTTCGTTCACAAAGTGAGCAGCTGGGCGAATTTCCTACAGTCGTCCCTCATGATGTCCTGTGCTTAATAAAAGGGAGTCCGCCCTCTAGACAAATTGTGGATCTTCTAAATCATTTTGGCACCAAAACAAATCTGGGTTCCTGGGAGGTTTCCTTTGTATACAATTGATTGTCGTTTCAGTTTCCTTTCTTAGGTTCTTTGTAATTAGATTCTCTCAGCGATCGTTTTATACTACTAAGAAGAGGACCAAGAAGGTTCTCAGGTTCTCCGCGGCTTTGAAGAAGTAGCAAAACCTATATATGTGTTTATCAATATTCTCAGCAGCCAATCCTTTGGCTTGCTAGTAATAAAAATATTTCAATTGAGGAATACATATTGCACAGTTGAGGATCCTTAAAGCAAATTTATTGTTGCGGATCAGGGGCCTTCCTGGTTTACTGCCATGAAATTTTGTTTAGGAACAGTCTTCACATAAAGGGTTGATTAAGGAATTGGTGGCTTTGGGAAACTGACAATTTTGAAGAAGAACTACAGAAACCAATACTTATAACTTTTGAAGAAAAACTACAGAAACCTATACTTATCAATTCTCTTTGCAAACTGGCCATTGGCTTAGTAGCATTAAACATCAATATATGTTTTCATTGAGGAAACCACTTTGCACAATTGAGGATCCTCAAGACAAATATATTATTGACAATTGAGGATCCGGGGCCTTCCTGGTCTACTATCTTAAATTTGTTTAGGAACAATCTTTACATAAAGGATTGATTAAGGAATTGGTGGCTTTGGGAAGCTGTCAGTTTTGAAGAAGAACTGCAGAAACCTATACTTTTCAATAATTTATCAATCTAGCCATTGGCTCAGTACTCAGTAGTATCAACAATTAATAGAGTGTTTTCATGGACGAAAATTAATGGCACAATTGAGGATCCTTCAAGCAAGTTTATTATTGAGGATCAGGGGCCTTCCTGGTCTACTATCTTAATACTTTGTTTAGGAACAATCTTTACATTCGGACTGAGGTCAGTATAGCCTTCGACGTTAGACCTCCATAGTGCCCCTGTACATTTAAGTTCGATCCTGCTGTACATTCGGAAAGCGAAAGCACAACCACGTCAAAGCGCCAGAGACTTGGATCGCTGATTGCAAATCCTTCTTCAGCCCGGTGTTCGATCACTGACGAGCAAGTAAGCGTGGGCAGTCTCCTGCTGGGTAATGCTTTCCATTCCTTTTTTCGTTCAGCTTACTGACGGACGCCACGTTCGTGCTCTTTCTTCACAAGGTCTTTCTTGCCCTATGGGGTTGGCCGCGTTGTCTCACCGCATGCCTCCCACAACTGTCTGGTCTCGCCGGGCGGACTCCGGGCGGACCTGCGATCCATCCGACCAAGTAGCCCGCCATTTGAGGTCTAGATCTAGACGCATTGGAGTCCAGAGAGGTGAGTCCAGAGAGGTGGTGAAGGTGGAGATCGTGGTTGAATTGAACAAAATCATCATGGTTGAGGGTTTAAAACCCAGGTGGCCCCACTCCCTACAGTATGAAAAATGGTCCTCGATCGACAGTGCAACAAATCCGGCTTGCAAAAACAAATGTGGGGCATCATGATGTTTGTGGGCAAGCATTTTTGGCTTGTATGTCGGTGTAATGTTGGATCCTGATTAGTATGTTCATTTTCCCAAAAGAATTCTGAATCCTGTTTTTTTTGTGGGGGTGCTCTATTATGCTAATGTTTTCGATGTTTTTCTTTAATCAACGGAGCACCTGACAACTAATTATGCTACCTTGCTCAAAGCTTGGACTACCCAATTATTGTCAATTGCCAAAGACATCTGCAATTGGTCGGAACGAAGACGGCTCCTGGCGAACGCCCATATATATTGAAGCAGTACCTGCCAGATTTTTGTGCTGCTCTCACCCAGCTGGGGCCATCCATGGCCTGAATTCTTTTTCTGCTGCGTGTTGAAAGTGTCCGCCAGTCTTTCAATGAAGCAGAGATGGGAGCCGGCTATCACGGCTGAATTGCACAATTCATAATTAGGGGTGCATATCTAGTCACGGGTAACAGCATTCGACGCAGAAGTGGAAAGAAGGTTTCATGGTTGCATCCACTCACGTCTAGACGTGGTCTTGTTAGACCGATCGAAACTCTTGGTGTTTTTCATGAAACTCGCAACTCAATGAGTAGATCAACCAATCTTGTTGGATCTGTTTTTGTTGACCCAACCAATGAAGGGACACCTCCTTTATGGTTTGACTTCAACCAGTACTTCAACCAACTGAACATGCTCCCCGTTTCCGCTCGTCGGTGCCTCCGTCCCCGGTCCGCTCGTTAGGACTCCTTCATCGCGGACCTGGTCGTGGGACTGCGCACGGGGCAGATCAAGACGGGCGCGCCCTGCCGTTCCGAGAGGTGTGGCCGTTGGCGTAAGGGTTTGTGCGGTGACCAACGTGGAGGAGTTGGGGGAATATATGGGAATATGATTTAATATGAGGTTCTCAATGTCTTTTTCCTATCATATCGGAGAAGGTTCCCTAATTTATATGAGCATATATTGAGGTTTCTCAACGTTACTTTCCTATAATCGTTTGGTCTTGGAGATAAATTTAGGAGATACAACAGGTGGACCCCCACAAGACATTTGGCCATATTTGTGTTGAAGACGCAGGTTTGGTCATCCTCAGTCTTTTGCTCTTTCCGTGGTTTTAAGTTGTTATACGTGTTTGTTCTCCGGAAACCAGCATAGTATTTGCAATCCAAGACACCGGAATCCAGCGTTACACTTAAAGTGATTTTGTGATTCAATCATTTTAGCAGCGAGAGGTAGCAAGTAGCAAGTGGTCAACTCGATCAGACTGGACCACTGGCGGATCATCGACCTCCTCCCACACGACTGCCCGCGATGGGCGAACTTGCGGACTTGCAGGTTGTCAAAGTACAACCAGCTCCTGCGTATTGAGGAGGAATTGGGCGAAAGGCACCCGTTTTTTTTTAAATGTTTTTAGACGCGCAGCAAAACTCAGGGAGACACCTAGCAGCCTAGCAGAGAATTGCCTCAGAAAAGCTGCCAGTGAAATCAGAAAACTGCTACTCAACTCGTAGTGTTCAATCACAAATGACACTTTGACATATCACGCCTGGAGGAAGACAATTGGGATTGCATAAGCTTCACTTTGCGACCAATGTTCAGATCCAACCTCACAGGAAAGATCGACGATTGGCCCACAGAACTCGTAACTGAGTTCCTCCAGAACCGAATTTCAGCCTGCCAGGGGGATGAATGCGAGGGGATACGGGTGTTGAAATCTTCGTTCCACCACCAAGGTGGATTGCATTCTCCGAGCCATCCCAGCGAAAAGTGGATGCCCTGGCACCCTTTTTGGGGAGGGATTGAGGACACCCCACTCAAAACAAACAGCGTGGAGACCTGGTTCTTCAATTCGCGACCGTCCTTGACATCCTGGTTGGTTCGGTCACAAAAAGGCCTGTCACAGGTCACGGCTGGGGACTTCAAAAAGGTCACGAACTGAAGAAGCTGGGGACTCCAAACAGCTTGATTTGTCTATTTTCCCAACTGCGGGAGTCAGTTCTGGCCGCTGGGAGGGTCCAGTTTCATCATTGGGGGAAGTACCGATGAGGGATGTTCCGGGGGTCAAACGTTTGACACCATCAAGGAAACCGACCTATATATACTTGTTTGGTTTCTCAACACACATCACCAAGCCAAACTTCATTCCGCCACAAAGAAACGCCATGCCGCACCAACATATCCATCATAAAATTTGGGTCGTCCACCGCCCTGAAACGAGGGGCAAGGTCTAGGTCTCGCGGGGGGGGCGCCCTCCCCATGCAACTGCTCGCGGGAGTGGACAGGTGTTCTTACGCGGGCACCGGCTTCCGCAACATTGGTTCCCCGGACTTCGGCATGAAGAGGAAGCCGTGACTTGGGCATGAAGAGGGCGCTTTTTTGGGACGGAGGGTGCATGAGGACGCTGAGTGTTTTCGGGCCCCAAGATCGGTGATCGTTGGAAAACGGTGGCGGCACTGGGCTTAGGCATAGAACGTATAGATTCACTTGCAAAGTTGAACGGCCCGCTGTGTTCATTGGCATTTTGACGAGCACGTTACAAGATTCCTTAAGTTCCATTCCCTATAAGGGTCCAGGACCATCCTGAGGATGTCCTTTGACCCCCCCAAGACCATTCTCTGGAAGTACTTTCACCTCCAAGACCATCCTCAGGAGGTACCTGGACCCTATGGGACTTTGGAGGAGGACCATCAGAACATCTCACAAAATATTCCCTCTCAATTCAGGACGCAATTCTTTGATCCCTCCAGACGGCCAATGAATGTAGAACCCAGAGCCTGAGTACAGCAGCGAGTGTGCTCACTACAACGGTTGAGCTCGTTGTGTAGTGTAGTGTAGAATTCTTAGTAAAACAATGGTTCTTCACGTTTGGTAAAGACATGTACAGACCAATGGTTTTTGGAATTCTAGGGCCTACGGGGAACTGAAGTTGGACAACATGTCCTCCAGGGAACTTGACTGAGTTGACCCACAACGACCGCAGGCTAGGTAGCACTCCCACCCATTGGACTGGAATCTATTGCAGACTATCCATGGAACATGGATGCCGGGCATGCCTGCATTGACCCCTGTTCCAGCACCATGTGCGTTTTCATGAGTGGTGCATGGATGGTCAATCCCCCTTGGGGGAAGAAGTGGACTGATCCATGTGGGGCAACGGACGCCTGTCGTTAGGCTGACAAGGATGCATAGACTCCCGTATACGCGTCCAGGAGCATCCGTTGCTCGGAGGTCCTGAAGGACCCCCCACCAACGACCATGAAAGACCTGGTTTCGTACGTACGGAACACCTCCGGCAACGACCATCCGAAGTACTGGTCGGTACCTGGACCCGAACTGGGGCGCCGCCGGACGTGTGTTTTGCGGTGCGGAGCGGGCCGCGCGAAAGGACCCGGACCGCGGAGCGGGGCACCTGGACCCGTTGACAACGGTCACAACGACCTGGACTCGACTTCAAGTATCTTAGAACATGGGACATGCCCCCATCATGTACCCATTGTCCGAGGTACTTTGAGGGTCATGCAATGTAGGGTTTTGGACCGAAGACAGTCGGCAGTAGCAGTATAGCAGTTGCTTCGGGTCCAGGGTCGCCTCTAAGATCCTCTAAGCAGAGAGACACCAAGCATCACCAACCTAACCAGCCAAGACAGCGGTTATCCCGGTGATCCAACTGATCCCCGCCCGCGGCGTTTCATCCAGTGCTGGTGAAAGAAACTCCGGCCGGCCGTCCTGGTCGTGAAAGCTGCCCAACGGCCACTCCGCAACAGCCAAGGTTTGTGGGCGGCAACTGGAAATGCAATGGGAAGCTCAGCGGCGTCAAGGAACTCCTGGCAGCACCTTCGTCTGCACCAGAGCAGGGCGCCTGCACGCGGGCGCCTACGCACGCGCCTACGCGAAGGGACGGAGCACGGAGCACTGCGCACTGCACTGCGGGGCTTGGACGTTGTGTGAGGTTGAGTGGTCGGGTAGGGATGTCGTGGGAGTTTGGGATGGACCAGAAGAGACACCAAAGAAGGAGGAGTTAAGGACCAGGAGTCACAAAGGGGTGGTGTTTGGTCCCCAAGTGAGTGGATAATGGGCACCCCTAACCTCCATGGATCGCACCCCTTTGTGACTGCTGGGAGTTTCATATAGCACGGGGTCCATCCTTGCTGTCCCTTGCTGTCACGTGGTCCAAGGGTGCGTGCTGAGTTGACAAAAAGAAAGGCAGGGGAGTGGCTAACCAAGATCCAATTGAGCACCTAGGCCGGAAAAAAAAGAAAAAAACACACACATGAGTTCAACCTTCAAGTGGAGAGAGACTGTGGTAGTGCATCCGAGCGCATCCTTGCGCAAGCATGGCATGTTACCCAGCTACGTCGCACATTTGGAGGGACATCTGTGATAGGTTATAGGTCGGTCGGTCGGTCGGTCGGTCGTTGACCTACCAACCGCTCCACACCCGCAACCGGTTGAGCCGGGGAGGTTGACCATGTCTGGTCTCTTCTGTTCATGTTCGGTGGGAAAAGCCAGGGGGTCTCCATTCCCGAAGGTGGGTCCAGACGGGGGTTTTCGCCTGCCACCTCCTGAGCAAAATGGGACAGGAGCCCATCCGGGGATATGACCTACAAGTCATTTGACCTCTGTTTTGATGGGAAAAGACCATCTTTTGGCTAACAGGGGTCACTGGTCTCAAGCAGATTCTCCAAAGTTGGCGGGTCTTCTAGGCCTGGAACCCCTGACAAACCCAGCGAGAATGGCCACTAGACGTTCTGGACGGCCAAACGGTCCGTGGACGCCCACGGACGTCCGTGGCATGTCGCGGCTGGTTCTATGCAGCTGTAGTTGGGGTCGCGGGCGCACGGACGACGTAGCATAGACAGCATCAACGTAGAAACATCTAACGAACAGTATTTAAACATATTTCCCTAAGGGTCCAGGACCATCCTGAGGATGTCCTTTCACCCCCCCAAGACCATTCTCTGGAAGTACTTTCACCTCCAAGACCATCCTCAGGAGGAACCTGGACCCTATGGGTTTAAACCAATGGGACACGTGGAAGGTATGAGGTTCCCGACAAGTGGAATCAGGTATTGGTCCTGGCTGCACACCAAATGAATGCAGAGCATTGACTCCACAGAATCAAATGCAAGTGCTTTTGGGTGGCAAGGTATCTACATTTGCTGAACATTGCCTCACTAGGATCACATGATTAACTACCTTCTGCAGACTCCCTCACAGAAGACAAGGGGCGCCATGAGGGCCATTGCGCATGTGCTCAGCGATACTTCTATCCCAGTGGAGCGAAGATGGATTTGGTGCATTTGGGCATGCACTGCTGGAGGCACATTGCTGCTTGGTACATTGATTCTGCACAAAGGCTTCGCCCTCAAGCAATGGGCCACTTCCACAAGCACCAAGTTGGAGCGCGAGCAGGGTTTCTGGAGACGTTGCATTTGCTGCCCATTCGTGGTATTGTTGCGGGCGCTGACTGTTCTTGTTTCCTTTTGCTGCTGGCTGGTTTTGTTGCCTTTCCGGCTCATGACTGAGCTAATTTTGTCTACGTGTTTGTTGAAAAAGCACAAGTGTTAGTCACATTCGCTGTTCATGTGTATGTCCTCAGCCAAATCATCCACCGAGATACAGTCAGTGGTGCCATAAACTCAGAGACCGGGGTTCCTTGGCAGACATGGGAGTGGTTGGCTCCTTTTACAGGCTCTCCTGCGCATCTCCACCTGTCAGCAGGATCCCAATTTCGGCTGGTTTGATTTCCTGAAATGCTACGCAATCTACTTGACACCGGGCTTTGGGACAGGCTTCAAGTTATCCAAGGACATCATCTTGGCTGCTTTGTGCTTAAACTCACAGTTGCTGGGGGTGAAAATCATGGGATGTTTGTGTTACTTGTGGTTGGTTCTCCTTCATAGTGTGCGAATTCTCTATTCCACAAAGGCCAAAGACGAGGAGTTCTCGGCTTTTTCTGGTGTGCTTTGCCTGAAGGTGTCCTCTAGGCTACGCATGGCCACACGACTGGCACATTTTTGCTCACGGGGCTTCAGAAAGGAGACGTGGCGAGTTATGATCTGGAAAGATCATGTTGCAATTGTTGCAGCGGTCACCCTTGACTTGTCAGAGCGGCGCGTTGATGGGAAGCTGTTCGTTTTCATATGGAACATCGGCATACCAACGTTCAAGATCGTGGTTGGATTTATCATTCGTTGCTTCTATCAAGATGAGGCTGAAGACTGTGATGAAGAAGAACATGTTTTGCCCCCGAAAAGGGCAGAAGAAGTGACGAGAAGTGATGAGAAGTGAATCTGAGTGAGCAATGGGAGTTATACATGGCCAATGACTCAGCTGTGCACTTGGCGAAGGGTTTACTTCGACATGGAGGCGGTTTAGCCACTCTCTTCCTGGCTGCCCAGCGCTGGTATTAGACACCCCCAAAAGTGGGCGCCTACATAGGACTTCCCCTAAGGATCCATTTTTCCCTCTGAGAAGATGATTGGAGACACTGTTATGTAGGTGCTAGGAGGGTCCCAGTACATTCTGAAAAGGTGTTTGGATCCCTAGTACTTATAGATCATAGATCTCCTAAAAGGGGCTTTCAAGAGCGGTGAAGTGACTTTGTCGGACCCGTTACCTGGAGTACTCCTCTGTTGGATATATATATATATATATATTCCAATGTGGCGGGCCCCACATGGCCCCACTCTTCCCGGAGAGTCTCATACTGTGGCTGCAGCGACCAAAGCGTTGCTGCAACAACGCCGCGGTAGACTCCAGATGATTCCAAAAGTTGGGTCCCTTTCAGAAAGGGCGCGAGATTGGCGGCTGTAAATCAAAAGGCCAGACCGACAGACCGACGGGAATGTAAAATGTCATATGTTTTGTTTGTTTGCTCAGATGCGCCAAATCCAAAACCTCGACACCTTTGGCCATTTGCAATCTACTTGGTGAAACCCTCACCGTCATCTAGCTGGGAATTCCTGCACATTGCCAAGTCACCACGTCCAGACCAGGGATTTCCCTGAGAGATTTGGCGAAGAAACGGATTCTTCGACCAAGGCGGCGCATGTTCTGATGCCAAGATTTGCCCTCCATGATCCAAATCGGGTCCGTTGGCACCTCGATGCCACCACATGCCACCCACCCACCCAACCGGTCACCACCCACTTCTCCAATCACCTCCAATCCAGCTCAACCACCATCTCGCCACAGCAACCCCGGTCCTTCACGACCCAAGGCCTTCAAGGGCATCGGAGCAGATCCTAAATCCGTGGACGTGGCCATCTTTGCTCCCACGCTGCACATCCCTGCGGCCCAGGACGCGAGGTTCTCGCCGTTTCGCCTGGCAGCGCGAGTGTTTCACGACGCGCGGGTGGAAAGGTCGAGGGGTCCCAAGGAAGTGGAGCTCTTGAAGATTTGGGGGCTCCACTTGTGACAGGCACCCTTTTTTTGTTGAACCATGTTGAACCGGCCGATTCACTGGCCACCAGCAAGTAGTATGTTTTTCATTGAAGAGTATATTTGCAGGACGATTGAAGAAGATTCTTGGTACCCTGGCCCAGACTCTTTCATTGTCCTGCCTGTATACGCTGGGTCTCAGCCGTACCTGTTTTGTAGTTAGCTCAAGTCCTGTGTCCTGTTCATACTTCATACCCAGGCACACGTCATGTATTGGCACGTTTGCTGTAGGAAACATTCCAGTCCCTACAGGACTGCCTGGCGGGCGATGCTGCGATCCAGCTAGGGGTGCAAAACATGAGCAAGACAGGCGAGGAGACGGGTGTGTGGGATCATCGGTGGCTATGGACGTCCCCATGTGGATTGAAAGAAGTCTTTGGTTACTAGTCAAGAGTCTACATTAGTGGGATCATGCTGGGATACGGAAAGGACCATGACCAACGCTGAGACACCCATCCGATGGGTGTGTTGGCTATGGTTGGCAAACATGACCACTGTCAGACGGTCTCATCACCTGGCTTATGCTTCGTGACATCGTCAATTTACGGATGTTCCAAAAAAAACGTTTCTTGCAGTCTTGAGGACAAACATAGATGGGCCAATACAATACCAGAGCGAGTTGGAAGTGGGAAGAATTTGAGGACCAGGATGTCTCTGAGTCGATTTGGAGCTGCTTTTCACGGAGTATCAGCTTGATCGCCCATCGCCTGACAAGAAAACAGCACTTGGATCGACTGCGGTGTCTAGTTTCACAAGATCTCACAAGTTTTGTATGGTGACCTCCACATGGTCCAGTCGCACCGTTCGAGAATCTCTACTTCCTACCAAGGGCCCTCCAGCCCATGAGGTGTCTGAAAAATAACCACCCCAAAAACATCCTTAAGACGGTTACCCCAAACCACGGGATCCAGGTAGGGTTTCCACTCCACATACCTTGAGGTACGGTCATGTGTTCGACACTGTTTTTGGAGGGTCGACTCGATCTGTAGGGATTCCAGTCCTAATCCCTACACCTCCAGTCGTACCTCCTCAGGTTCGGTATGACTGGACCCTCCTGGCACCCACCCCAGTCCCACCGAACCTCAGGTTCGGTACGACTGGAGGCCGGCCGAACGGGAATGGAAACTCTTGATTGTTGTCGCTCCGTTCGAGTCTGGAATCCAGGTGAGGGTGCCTTCACTGGAGAGGTCTCCGCTGGTCAGGTGGCCGATTGCGGACTTAAGCCACGTGGCGGGAGAAAAGACCTCGTGGAGAGGACGACGAGGACGAGGAGGAGGAGAGGTGTGAGAAGAAGATTCAGTTGTTTCTTCTTATTAACAATTAAGGTCATTGTTCCTTCGGAAAGCAATTGCCAATTACTGAAGGCGTGAATAGAAGATGGGAGTTAGGGAATCGGCAATGTTACATTTTGTCGATGCTGCGATAGTAGATCTGTTTTGTTGAAGTATATATACGATGTGAGCACGTCTGAGCGTGTAATTAATTGTGTCCAATCGAAGAATGCACAGTCAAGGGCCTTCAAGGGAGTATTCAAGGGTTATAGCCTAGTCACCGTCAATTGGTAGTGATTTGGACATGTTTTTGTTCGACTGTCTTGCTGACTTCTGTCCAGTTCCATGCCGCCCTAACCATCAGGATCCTCCACAAGAAAGCGATTAGGACGTTGTAGATTTAGATCTTCCCCGCACCCCCAACACCTGTTTCCTTCCGCGATAAGAGCCCTCTTGGACCCCTACAGGGACACCTTCCAGCGAGCGTCACCGAGGTATGTCTTGGTCGGCCACTCCGAACGCCGCTCGTTGTACGGAGAGACGGACGAGGATTGCGCGGCCAAGACGAAGGCCGACGGAAGTCACGGTGGTGGCCATGGAAGTCGGATGGGCGCGGATGGGTCGAGAAGCACCAAGTAATTAGGTGCCAGGCAAAGGGGCGACTTGGCATGAAATGTGAATACCCCTGGAGTAGGGTCAAGTCCTAATCGACATGCACGAATATTCACGATGAGAGACGCATCTATAAGCATGTTCTGCGGATTAGTCCCACTTCTAACTACAGACCCCTACCTGGACCCTCCAACAGGTGTTTCCTGGTGACGACAGGTGCCGAGAAACCCACTTGGTAGGCTTCTAAAACCACCTCCTCCAATGATCCCTAGGGCTCCAACCACCTTCTCAGAAGGTAGTTAGACCCCTCAAACCCACCCCAACCACCGAACCTCAGGAGGTGGGCCAGGAGCCCTAGGGGATGTTGGGCAAGGCAAACTTGTTTCCCTTCCTGGGCTCGTGGCCTCTGAAACAGGTCGTTCTGGCCCCCATGGCTTCTGAGCGAGTGGTCGGTGTCCGACGTCCCAGCTCACCTTGGCTGTGAGGAACCCCAGCGACTTCCCAACCCCCAAAACAACCGACGGAACTGCGACGCAAGGGTTGGACTGAGGGAGTAGGGACAGTGTGCAGAACCGCTTCACACAGTGCCGGGCAGAACCTTCGGTGGTCGCCAGGCAGCTCTGGACAAGGGCTGGGAGCCTCAGTGGGGGTCCCTCTCTTCATCGGTGTGGTTGCGACTGGAGGAGCCTCGAGGTGAAGGGAAAGAGGGAGGCTTCCCTCAGATAATGCTGATGATGTCGCGCCAGCATGAGCCTCATGCCGCCTCTTCCTCTCCGCCCAGGGAGGAGAGGGTCTTCATGAACGTCCCTCTCGTGTCCATGAAGGGAGACGTTCATGGACCATCCTATCCCATCGTGTCCTTTACTTGGAGATCCGTATCTATAGTGCAGGGTAGTCACGGCCAGTGTCCACCCATATGGGTCGGATGGTGCTACCGGTTCTTCACCAGTTCCTGTGATCGACCTTCCCTCGGTGATCGACCTCCTTCGGTCCACCTCGTTGGTGCAGCGCTCCAGTCCTTCAGTCACTCGGAGATCCTCAGTGATCACGCGAGCTCGCGGAGGATGTTGGGCGAGGTTGCAGACGAGATCTGAATCTCAGGAAGCCCCGTTTTTGTGCTGTCTTTAGAACCACGTGTTCTCCATGCTTCTCAAGAAGGAGACCTGCTGATATGATTCGCCTATAGTCAATGCCTTTAGTCAGGATCCTCCTAAAGCGCTTGACCATTCCGTGTCGACTCACGTCTTCCGGTCGCGACCGATGCGCACGGCCGAGCCGCGACGGTGGCGGCTCAGGGGTTCCAGAGACGCACTGGGGTAGATCCCCTAGGGCTCCAACCGTATCTTCAGAAGGTGGTTAGACCCCCCTGGCACCCACCCCAACCACCGAACCTCAGGAGGTGGGCCAGGAGCCCTAGGGATCTTAAGAACGCCTGCATACACTGGCCTACCTGCATACACCTGCATACGCCTGCTAGCTTGCCGGCGTCAGACTGCGCTCCCAACTGCACGGTCCAACAACAAAGGCGAGAGGAAGGTGAAGTTGAGGAATGCCAAACGACCAGACGGAACTACAGGTGGGGCTGAATTGGAGCCTCTCCAGGTAGTGTTCCTTTTTTTGTTCAAGTTCCGCGCAGGCTTGTCCCTCCAGTTTCGAAGACTTTGGTAGCTTGACATAGAAGTTGGTCCATTCAGGCTAGTATTTGACAGGAGATGTGGGTTGTCCAAAAGAGGCACACCTTATCATCTAGCAGGACCTTCAGTTCGTGACCTTGAACTGGAGTCTTTGTTTGTGACCTCCAGACAGGGAGTAGACTACGTGATCTCAGCCGGGAGGTCCTGCTACCTAGGAGTTCTTTTTCCCTACAAGGCCTCGTAGCTTTGCAATGCCAATGCAGCTGAACCCCTTCTCATCCTATCTTTTCCCCACTGAGTTGAGCCACTTGAACTAGCCTGGAGCTTGAGTTAGGTGGAAAAGCACAGGCTGGCCAAGTTCGGTTTCGTTTCGGATGTTACTTTGAGTTCGGTTCTCGGAGGGCATCCTCTCGGCCTTCCAGATGGTCGAATCAAAAGGCTCAACCAGGGTTTGGCAGGTCATGTCGAAGGGTTTGGAGTGGCACGTCCTAAGACTCATTGGTTTAGATGTCTTCTGTACTTTCAGGACGCAGGGACGATACCTTCGAGCCATCCAGATCAGATCTGTCCACTCCTGGAGCTCAACTTTCTGAAACCCACACCCATTCTGATCGGATCTTGTCGAAGTTATCTTCCTTCCTTCTGTGACGCAAAAACAAAACGCAAAGTTCCTGAAGAAGTTGGTTTCTTGGCTCCGAAGTGTGGGAAAGGATTTTCAGACTCCGGACCTGGGAGGAAGCCATGGGCTTCCTAGCCATGGCTGAAATCATGGCTTCCTGTGGAGGAATTGCACCTGAACAGGTCTTCGGATCAGTTGGGGTGAAGCAACACATATAACAATCCCTAAGGGTCCAGGACCATCCGTTGCTCGGATGTCCTGAATGACCCCCCAAGACCATTCTCTGGTTTCGTACGTACTCACCTCCAAGACCATCCTCAGGAGGTACCTGGACCCTATGGGAATGAGAGGAATTGCAAGGATTTCAAGTGACGGTGTTGGTCAGGTGCGCAAAACACTAAGGAGCACAGCACAGCAAAGGCGCGAAAGCACAGGGCGCTACTGCAATGGTCCTAGTTGATGGGCCGATTGTTGCTTGGTTTTTCCTCATTTATTTGACAAAACGGCTGCGAAGTGGAACAAAGGGTGAGTGCTGCATCTTTATATAGTCCTTGGAAGAAGCTCCGTTCGTAGCGTCGGAACGCCTGGAGGAGACCCCCTGGCCCCAATGTTGATCTCTTGGACCCTTCACGGGGTCCGGGGGTCTCTCCCTACTCGCCCAAACACGAACGATCGCGAATATCTGGGTTCAGAGTCATGTTTGGCCTTACACTTGAGAACTGTGATTCTGGTAGATCTAAGGTTCAGGTGTCCCATGAACTCAAAACATGGGACAGGCCAGCAACACATGGACAGCTCACGAGGACCCGTTTGGATCCACTTCAACGTGGTTTGGCCTTCTGATGTGATGTTTCCTTAAGTTTCTGGGGCGTTTCACCCCCGCTGACGTGGGGGATGCGCGGGGCATTGGTGGCCGGAGATGGATATTTGTTGGATCTACAGAGTCTACAGCCCAGCAAACCCAAGTCAGGGGAAACTAGGCCAACATCAACCGCAGTCTTGTCACACAGGACTCGCCAGTCTTGTCACACATTCACGAGATGGAGAGATGTCGAAGATCAAGAATTCGGCACTGTGCAGGATTCCCCCGGCCCTGCACTGAGATACACCAAATTGACCTTGGGAATACCTTGGTTCAAGGTCACTGATATGCCCGTAAATGGTCATTTTGGATTTCAACTTTGGCAAGCTGTGCAAAAGGATCGGCAGGGCAGCTAATTGCCATATCGCCATCATAGACGACGACGTCAAGCTCCGAGTGTTGCAACTGATTGAACGGAGTGATGCAGGGACTTGTTCAAAGCTGGCGTGAGATGTCGGCAAGCTGTGGCAACTGGTTGATCATGTTTTCCTTGCCAAACAGACATTTGGCACCGAACTTCCACGCGCTTCCACATCCTTGCGACCGTGGAACATTGCTCTGCAGCCCGCAAACATGGAAGATTGCCACAAAGCTTTGCACAGCTGTGGGCACCAAGAGCTTGAACCCCTTTACACGTTCGGCATCAGCACTGTCCATTACTTAATATGGGCGTCAAAGCATCGACAGGCTTTGATCGTAGCACTTTTCAAACTTGGACTTTTGAGACGCTGATATAGCCTAATATATTATAAATATATAGGTTCCTTGTCGCAGGCTTTTCAGAGTGTACTTGCAGCAAAGGACACCTCCGATTTCTGGGGCCACATCAACGTTGCAAGAACACACAGCCCTCTGAATTGACTGATCTGCTCATGGGCGCACAAGTTGTCCAAACCCCCATGTAGTTTGCATATATTGCGTATATTGAATTTGGATGATTTATAAAATGCTGCAATGCTGCCATGTTTGTAGCGCCCTACACACACCCGCATTATGGTCACACTTGTCATGTTTCCGTCCGTACACCACGTGGTTCCTCAACCACGTGGACACTCCTTTGGGTTGTGCTCAGCAGCTTCATAGGCTAATCATGGATCTCTACATACGAACCAAGGTGTCTGGAAAATTCAATTTGCTTTTGGTTGAGTTTGGATGCCAACGGCAAGTTTGGACTCATCAGCTATGTGTTCAATTCGGCGATGGTTCATTTTTTTCCATGTGTCAAACCTTCTTGGCATCCCTTTACTTGACGTGGCAGCAGGTGAAATTTAGAGAACATGCACCGACAGATGGACACTTTGTTGTTTTTTTTGCGTCATGCACAGAATCACGGTACCATTCCGTATCCATTTTGACTCCACACGCAGCCCGCATAGAGGGGCCTTATGGAATGGCACAACATGAATTATCCAACATGGCAGACCTTCTTGAAAGATGATGTGAACATGGTGGACCCTTGAAAAAAGGCAACGTTTCGTGTCATTCATCCTTTTAACGTTGTATACCAAGCTCGTGTAAGTTTGTTTTGGGGTGTCCATGCGGGACTTGTTTTTTAACACCCCAGGTTCAAACAAGAAAGAGGCCAATGTGTTTCTTCACGCCACTTGTCCAAGGTTTGACGGTGGTCTTTTGCATTGGCGAGTCGTTGGCTGAACGCGGCTTGGTTTGGTCCTGGGTCGAGTTTGATGTTGCGTTTGGGATTTATAAACATGTGTCCCGGACCCAGAAATGCAGATTTGGAGGAGGACGTAGTTAGATCTATTGAATTCTAGGCTATCATCATCATGTTACACCTTGAACACCTTGTTATTATTTGAATCTATTTAGTATATTTTGATGAGGTTTTGCATGGAATTCCGGCCTTGCACCATACCTCGATTCACTGTGAAGACGGCAAAGATGGCAAAGGTCAATCTGGGAAGACCACAGACGTCTGCGAGAAACAGATGAAGGCCGCTTGCGAGAGCGCGAGACCAGCTGTGCGAGAGAAGCAAACACGAAGTGACCTGTGATGTTGGAGTATATTTATGTACATTTAGTTATACCTGGGAAGATGAACACATGGAACCTGATGGCATGGAGCTTTGGAAGATTGCAATCCTCTACAACCCAGGGGTCGGCTTTCAGGTTCCATGTGGGTCTCTTTCAGGGCGTATAGCCTCACTGTGGTTCCGGATGCCTGAAGCCTTTCTCCCTTTTGGTTTTAGAAGGCAAAAGGCATGGTTCCTCACACAGAGAAACATATAGCATGTCCAATGTGTTTCTTTACAACGTTGCATTATTTACGGTGTTTACTGATCATTTCCATGTCCCTTTTGCCTTGCTGAAGTGGAATGACATTGGCTCGTGTGGATTAGGCAACATGCAGAACCTGGGGTAGCGTGGGTCGGCAGGAAGAAGGGATGTGGGCACCTTTGGAGATCCATCAAAAGCATCATAAACATCATACCCATGCGACTCATACTCGGGTACTCATGACATATAGAAGGATCGATCCCGAATCCAAACTGGTCAGGGGCTTGAAGGTTTGAGGGTTTCACACCAATTTCAGGGAGCTTCTGGTATACATCCAATGCCGAATTTGCACCATCCGACATCAGAGTCACCTCGGGCGTCCGAAAGCCCACGACGTAGCGGGATGTGACGGTCCAGGAGACCCCCCAGTGACGGTGCAGGTCTCGAATTGGCGCTCGGACGAGGAGTCTTCCGCCAGAATCCGAACTGGCTCTCCATGGCAGGGGTTTGGACCTGCTTCTCTTAACGCAGGGGTTTGGACCCGACACCAAGCCCTTGGTGTTTGAGGGCCCAGATTCTGAGGGGCGAGTAGACCTTCCGCCAAGCACCGACGCTCGCTGGCTCGGTGCTTGCCAGACTTCGACTCCCAGCAGGTGAGTCAGGTGATTGGTAGGTCGTCTCGCCGGCCGGGGAGTTGTTCGAATCATCCCCTGGTCAGACCATCCGGACTGAAACCGTGACTGGAAGACTTGACCCGACCGGTTTTGAACTCGGAGTTGGGATCCATGTCCATTATCAGAAGAATGGACCTAGCACTTCCAATGGGTGCCCAATGGTGACCTATAAGCAGTGTAGGGTGGTCCATTGGTAACCCCTTGGAAGCAGCTGGGAGGTTCTGTGGATGTTTGGGAACTTCAGTCGGATGCCACCAGGCTGTGATCCCTGTGATCTCGGACTGGTCGAAGATCGTCATCGCCTACGTGTCTCTGCACAGCGAAAGGGTGTCGTTTGGTCAACAGTTCCCACGTGTTTAGGTGCGGTGTACGAGCAGCATGTAACGTGGGTGTTTTGGAGGTATATGCCCAAAAAGGCCGTGAAGATGAAAGGCCTTGGCAGAAAAGGACCATTCTTCTCAGACCAGCTTCACCCTGGTCAGTGGGATCGGTCCATGTCCATGCCGCTAACTGGAAGCGGATGGGTGGACGGCGTACACTCGGACTGCATGGCCTGTATACGAGGAGACGTGTCCGAAGATCAAAAAGTTGGTGAACTTGACCACGAAACCCAGTCCCAGCAACAAGTCGGTTTCCCCAGTCCAAGCCACTTCTGGATCTCTGGCGCTGGTGCACGGGTTCCAACCCGTTGTTTCTGGTTGTTTGAGTTTGAATCCCAAAGAACCCTTCGGTTTATGGATTTTACACTACAAGGCCAGGTGAACCGTTATTTTACTGGTCGAACTGAAGGCTGGGGTGTAGGTTCAATGAACTGCCGAAGAAGATGTGGGGAGTTTTCCCTCCGAGTGCGGTCGAAGATGGAATTTCTCACTTCATGGTCGGACGGAAGATCTTGGAAAGGGCTCGAGAGACAGACCTCCGCCACTGGCATCCACCCTGGCAAAGAACCCAAGGCCCGAGGTCAGACTGGAGTCCAAACGGGTTACACTCCTTGAAATATTCATGGAAGTGGAGTGAACACCACCCATTTGAGAGGACCATTGTAATCCTTCTGGGACCATGTTCTACTTCCTTCTATTTTCAGGGAGTGTAATAGGATGTAATAGGTCTTTGACTTTTTTTTTCCCAACTCTTTCTCCGGCTGGTGAACCTTTTGTTGATGGACTGTATAGAGGAGATCAAAGTGCAACTCCACCAAAACTTGAAGCTAGAAGTGGACAGCTCCTTTCTCAAGAGACCTTGCCCAGTTTGTTTGGGGGGGCCATGTTTCACTCCTCCATGTCTCCAGCCGACCATTTGCTTCGGAAGCATGGTACCGACCCATCGCTTGCTACGACCGACCACCCAACAAGTACCGACACCGATAGGTCGCCGCATCGCCCCACCGGGACGCTCTAGCGACACTACCGACCCACCAAGGAGCCGGTGTGGGCCATCGGTACCGGCGTCGTCGCCACGCCGCTCCAAGCGCAAGACACCCAGTACCAGGCGCCGTCCGAAACGCCGTGGGCGCGGGTGGGAAGAGCACAAGGCCCGAGGCGCCCAAAATGGGCTCCGGTGGTTTCTGAAAGATCGCCCTATAATGATGTCTTGTTGGAGGGTGTTGGTGTTTCTTTTTTGGTGTGTAATTATCCCTAGACCTCCAGTCGTACCTCCTCAGGTTCGGTATGACTGGACCCTCCAAACCCACCCCAAACACCTTCTCAGAAGGTACTTGGAAGGCCTAGGGATGCCTAGGGTATGTGCGTTCACATATCTTATTTGTTTTCTTTGCTTCAGTAATGAGACGACGCTTTTTACTAGCACCTGTGTTAAGTCGTCTGGTCTTGTAGAAACTCGTTTGGATGCTGCGTTTACATTGGGGTTAGATGCAAGATGGCAATATAACTGGAAGAGTGTCAGGCCAACAACATCGTTTGGATGTTGCGTTTACATGCGGTTTAGGTGCAAGATGTCAATCTCATTGGAAGATAGGCTTTGGAATATCAGTTCAACACCATTCGACCATTGTTTGGATGATTTGGATGCTTCGTTTCCATGCAGGTTAGAGGGAAGGTGACCAAGCAGTGATTTGAAGATAATCGACGTGGGTAGGTGGATACAGGGGCAATGCATTCTTGATGTTTAGCAGTTTTGACAAACATACATCCGTAGAGTGTTCACATGGTGTTTTAACATAAAACGGGTGACTTTGTGCAAGCCGGGTGACTTTTGACTAATGCCGCGTTTACATGCGGCCGGGTGACTTTCTGCAAACCCGGGTGACTAAACCCCGACGCCAGTAGCTTCAACGCGTCGGAAAGGAGATTCCCGGTCGTCACCTAGTTTCTAAGAGACCATGATGCACCATTTCCTGACATTGGGTTGCTGGGTACGTATTGTCTTCACAAGCGCAAACCCGTTGGGGTGTTTTCTTTTCGCCACCTTACAGAAAGCGTCTAGTGACGAGGAAAGGAAGAGGGGAACACAACCAATAGAAGCTGACAGACCATGACCCCGGATAGGAGGAACTCGCCACCCACGCCGTTCGCACGGCTTTGGCCTTTGATAGGCCATGGCATGTCTTCGTTCGGGTATGCAGCATACGGCATAGGGAGGCCATCTGGGCATGGATCTCATCACTGAGTGACAAAAACCGTGCCCAGGGCCGTCTCCTCTCTGAGTTTTTTTTGTTTTCAAAGTGTTGGTTGAGTGCAGGTGCGCCGTTGCATCCGTGACGAGTGTGGCGCAGAGATTGCGGCACTTGGGCTAGCACGAGACAGGGCGAAGGGCTGGCCGCCAGCGTTTCCAGTTATGAGGAATGGACATCATCCTGCTTAGGGTGAGGGTTATTTTCCCAATTCCTTATGGGTGAATTGACCTCATGGGGAAAGGACTTGTTGACTGTTTGCCCGGTTCCTGGGCCAACGCAGCACCTATAGCAGCTCGCAGCGAGCGACTTCCCAAGCCGTCACTGCTGGGACTTCCAGTGAGGTTATTGGAGACATATAGCTCCTTAGAAAGATTCAAAGTGGAGTGAAAACCACCTGAGAGAGTATTAAAAACAAACACACATACAAAAAATTAGTATTCGGTATAGGGAAAGGTAGAGTTTTTTTTTGCACAACCACACCTTTTTGTAGAGGAACATTGTGACACATTGTGATTATTCCAGGGAGTGTATTCCAAGGGAGCCTGATGAATAGGGGCACCAAAAACTCTGTTCTTCACTCATAGATGGTGACAAATACGGTTTCAGAATGAGAATTCCATTGTCAAGGAATGACCATTCAATCAGTGCAATCCTTGAAGTTTCTAGACATCTTATAAACTAGCAGTCAAAAGGGAGGATGAGTTTTTGGATCTCAGCATGGCTCCATCCTTCAACGCAAAACTTGTTTCATATGAGTTTCAAAAGGCCTGCTAAGCATGGGTTTAGACCCCCAACACCGTGGTGAGTGAATCAACACCATACCCAGGGTAGCTGCTCCGTCCGGCACGTTCGGCACCTCTCCATATGGAACTGCAGGTGCCAGGACCTTCGGCCTAACCATGACACTCCATGGGACTGCCATATTTGCCGATCATGCCAGGGGTGGTTGACCGGTCTGGCTTGGGCGGCAGTCCTATATGCCAGTGCCCATGGAGTGTTTGGGTAAGTGACCTGATCCTGGGATCTTAAGTTTGGTCACGAATTGAAAGTCCCGGATATATATATATATATATATATATCCCAGTTTTTCTCAATTTGGAGTCCCTAATCCGTGACCGGGCGGCCATACCAGGCCTCCAATATGAGCTCAAACACAGGGGATCAAGTTCAATCCAGTATGATTTTTACCAAATCCTTTGGATAGACTTAGGACTTAACTATACGCATTTCTCAAAATTTCACTTGAACTAGTAACTAGACCAACTTTCCAAATCTCTCCAACTCCTCGCTCTGTTGAGTCATTCTTCACCACCACGGTCATTTTTCCTGGACTCGTCCAAACGTCTCAACACGTCTCAACACCGACCTCCAGCGATGTCCTGAGGACTCGGTGCGGATCATCTATGGTGGATCGGCCAATGAGAAGAACTGCAAGGCGAGACCGACCTCGACCAGCTCGACCACTTCTCCTTCTCGAGACCGACCGAGACCGGCTCGGCCACAGAGTGCCGTGCTCGGACCGTGTTGGACCGGGCGGATCAGGCGGAGGCGGATTCGGTGTCAGAACTCGTGACACCGCAACGGTCGAAGCTGATCCACGACATGGTGATCCATCCATCAACATCTGATGTGGCTTCCATCTAGAATACATACCAGGGGAGCTCAAAACCATGCAAAAATAAGGTTTTCACATACCAAAACCAGCTCTTTTGCTAGGAAAAACAAGGTTTTTTTGATGGTTTGTGGGGCGCCTGGTACTTCATCCATCCAAATGAAACAAATTCTTCTTGGACACTTCTAGATCCTTCACTCATCCCAACTCCTGAATCACTTCCCTTCACTTTCCCCTCAACACAAAATCCTCCTGCCCTAGGGATCCAAGTACCTTCTCAAAAGGTGTTTGGAGACACTGTTATGTAGGTTTGGAGGCTCCAAATACCTTCTGAGAAGGTACTTGGATCCCTATAGGGCTGGATCCTCCTCTTCCATCTTCTTCCCATCCTCCATCCTCCCTCTCTCCATAGCCCCCTCACCGTCTCCGCCGCCCGAGTCCTCCATCCTACCACATCACGTCTGCCGCCCCCTCACCGCCCGACGTGGAGGCCTTGGGTGAGCTGCCCGACGTGGATGGCTTCCTCGTGGGCGGCGCCTCTTTGAAACCCACCTTCACGGAGCGAATCGCTCCCATCGCTCCGTCGCGAGCGGCGTCCCGGATCGCTCGGCGGCGAGCGGTCGGCGTGGGGCGGTTCGGGACCCGGTCGCGGAGAGGGACCCCGAGGGAACACGAAGACGGAGAGATGTGGAGAGCAGACGAAATGGGGCTGGTGAAGAGATGGCATGGCTTGCTTGACTACTGAACATGATGGTGTAGGCCCGGCAGGAGAATGAGAGGTGTAATGAGACATGAATTAAGGATATGGTGCTTGCTCTTCGAATGGAGGTGTAGAACTTCATGTAGGGTTGTGCAACCTGGTGACGCCCAGCAGTAAAGATATGGAACACATGTTGAATCGTTTGGGCTCCAAAAGACTCCTGCCGGCAGTAAAGATGCTACGAAATGCTAGCTGCTCTGTATCTCATTTGAGCATCAAACATCGAGACGATTTAGACGAGGAGACGAGGAGACGGATGCAAACTTGAGTTACTCGTCTCCCCGTCGGGGCCACTGCCCTCTTCGAACGGTACACGTTGGAGACACGTCTCGTCCGTGCTGTCGGGTCCGGTACCACTGGATCCGGATTTGACCACGAAGTGTTCATGCCCATTTCAACCACGGTCCACGTGGTAAATGCCCTGGCAGTACCATGGGTCGTGTTTGCATCCACCAGACGAATGAGACTGGAATATACTGGAATAGATAATATGTTGAAACATGTTCGCAACCATTTATGACAATCTACGTAGGTAACGATTCCGGGGGTGTCCTACCTGTAACCAGTCGGTAAACAAGAACATCACTATTTTAGAGATGTCGGCCTGCAACCTAACGATCATCATGCAGCTGGGCCCTGATGAACAGGATAGACCCAGACTATTCCCAAACTATTCGCATCCCATAGGGTCCAGGTACCTCCTGAGGATGGTCTTGGAGGTGAAAGTACTTCCAGAGAATGGTCGAACGGGGGGTCAAAGGATATCCGATTCGGATGGTCCTGGACCCTTAGGGCATGGATGGTCTCATGGTCTGGGGATGAATGGTGATCCTCTTGTGCTTGAGCTCAGCCACAGGAGATCATCAGCACTGCTCAGGCCGATCTGCGGGTAGACGAAGAGATCTGAGCGCTGGTTGAAGCCCCTAGAGCTCGTAGAGCTTGGTGGGCAGTGTTTCTTCCAATTTATAAAGCTATTGTAGCTGTAACTACAAACAAAGCACTTTTTATATAAGGGTTTGGCGAGTCTCAATAATGACAGAATTCTCAAGCTCACACGCAACAGCAGGTAGGCCATCGAACATCCATTGATTCGCAGAGATTGGGTTCATGGATTTCAGAAGACTCCACCACTTGTGTGTGGTTTGACATGTCTAGACCACTTCGCAAGACATTGTTCCAAGTGCATGTGTTGCTTTTTATTCCGGCAACATATGTTTTGGATGAGTTGAGTCTTGCAGCTCCAGATCAGCACTCAGCACAAGCCCATTTTATATATAGATTAGTAGGTCCAGAAGGGTCCTTGGCAGTGCCAGGGTGAAACGAAAACGACCCGACCTGCCAGGGAGTTCTGTTTCCGCCTTGCACAAGCTCCATCCTTTGGATTGAAATCCCTACACCTCCAGTCGTACCTCCTCAGGTTCGGTATGACTGGACCCGACCCTGGCACCTGGGCCCCCAGTCCCACCGAACCTCAGGTTCGGTACGACTGGAGGCATAGGGAAAATGGATTCTCTTGCCTCTCCTTGGTAGACCCGATACACCAGTGCTGTTCTGCGTATCCGGACGTTCCAGTCGGAGATATGGGAGACCATGGCTCCTCAAGTGTCCCATCTTCCGGGGCGGAGTGGAGACCAAACAGGCAGGGGTAAGTGGAGACGGTCCTATCTGATTCGTAGTGGGGTCTGACCCAGGTCCAAAGCTAATCCTGAAATCCTCATTGAGTCATTGGGTAGTGTTTTTGTCCCTACACCGACTTCGTCGTACCTCCTCAGGTTCGGTATGACCCGACCCTGGCACCTGGGTCCCCGGTCCCACCGAACCTCAGGTTCGGCACGAAAACGGAGGCCGAACGGGTGTATGAGCAACTCCAGCATCTCATGAGGTCCGTCCCCACGCTTCAGGCAGCCTTTAAACCTTAAGCCCGGCGCTGAGCAACGACGCCACAGCTGCTTGCTGGGATTTGCGAAAGAGCTAGAGACAGTCCAGTATCTTGATCTTTGCTTCCAATTGATTTGGTCTTCACTTCATCCAGGGAGATACAGCAAAAAAAAAATAATATATATATATATATCAACGTACATATATCAACATATACCTGACCTGGCATCTTCTGGGCCTTTCTTCCTCAGATACATCGACCAGCTCCAGCTTGGGTGCATGCCGGCACGGACGACGCACCAGACCCCGACGTCCGCTCATCGACTCGGGTCGGGGACGACGGCTCTGAGGTCAACAAGCTCCAACCTAAGAGCGGCCTAAGACACAGTGTGCTCTTGTGTGGATGGTCTTTCAACAACCGGACCAGAGCCTAAAACCCTAAACCTAAGAGCAAAGCAAATGTTGGAGGCCATCCATCGCATGTGTTTGTCTGTGTTGTATCAGTTATGCCTTCACCCTGGCATGACGACTACATGCCTGTGTCTGTGTGTGCAAGTTTGCACCAATAATTCAACAACGAACGTGAAGTCGATCAGATTTCGATGCCCTTCATGAACGGGGCTCAAGTTGTAAGGGCTAGGCGCCATGGTGGTGGGTGGTGACGTAGTGTTCGTTAGCTGCCGAGGAAACCAGGGACTTGTGAGAGTCCGCGGCCGTGCGGTGGAGGTGGATGGAGACTTAGGAGTGGCCGTCTTGGCCTGTCAGAGCTCAATTGGCCGTCACCTCGACCAAAAGATAGAGGCCGGCGAGGAAGGCAAGCGTCTCACTTTTTTGAAAGTTCCACTCTCTGCTGCCAGCACAAAAACTCCACCTGGGTGGGGGTCAGTCGTCGGAGGCTCTGCTCCAGAGTTAGACGAAGCTCTCCCACTATGGGACAAGGTGTCGAAAGAAATGGCACTGGAAAGCAGCGAAGCCGAGGTGCAGTCCCCGGCTATGCAACCCAAAAAAGTGAAAACCTCAATGGCGGCGGCTGGTGGTCGCAAAAGTCAGCCGTCTGGTTTAGCGGAGGAGCTGCAGCGAATGCAGCAGGACCTGTGGGGAAAGTCGGGGGGGGGCAGCAGCGAAGACGAAAGCAGCGAAGAAGAAACAGAAGAAGAGCTTCCCCCCCGTTCTCGCAAGCACTTGGCTCCAGGTGCGAGTGCGTTAAAGAAGCCTTCGAAGAAGGACTCAGCTGCGTCCAGCAGCAAGTCGAAGCGAGACAATCCGCCCGGTCTCGAAGAAGTGATGGGGCAAGCAGTCGCTTCCGGCGCGGACGCCACTCAGCTCCTTCCCATGATGATGATGGCCTACATGATGAAGCAAGACAAGGCGGCCGAGGAAAAGAAGAAGCGAAGCAGAAAGAAGGGCAGGTCCCTTGGTGGTTCCGGCTCCGACACCTCAAGCGAGACGGAGGACGAAGAGGCCGGTGGGTTGAAGGCAGTCGACGCCTTGAACCGCATGCATCGGCGGATTACCCGTCACCCGAAACGATTGATTCGGGAATTCGAAAAGACAATCGTGGAAGAGCTTGGGGTAGTCCCAGGACAAGCTTGGAGTGTAAAAGAGTGGGTTCGGAAGCAGAACTTCGGCAAGTTCAAGGGGCTGTACCGGGCGACTATGATGGACGTGGCTGTGTACGAGTTCTTGAGAGGCGGCGACGAAGCAGCGGCAGCTGCCCAGTTGACTCAGAACATCAAAGCCAAGATCCAGTGCTGCTTGGCCGGAGGAGATTGGTCCACAGCATGGTTGCTGACAGGCCTGCAAGACCCGCTGCTTCGCCGCGAATGGGCGGGAACGCGGGAAGAGATGTCGATCGTCAGCGGCTATGTCCGAGCATTATCCAAGGTCAGGAAGCATGTCAAAGAGGCGCACCAGAGCGCCGAGACGAAGGAAGACCAAGAGTGAGCCCTACAAAGTGCATGCGCTTTCCCTGGGAACGGGGGAGGAATTCAAAGTTTTTGAAGTTCTTTGACTGGCAGAAGAGTGTCCACAGTAGCGAGCCGGTTCTGACTGGCTATGTTGAACAAGCACCACTTTTCCCTTGCTCCTTGCCGTTCCCCGAGGCTTTCAAAGTCAGTGGGGAGGCAATCGCTGGCGAAGCGAGACGGTTGCATTGGGCCAAAGCTTACTTGAATTTTTGGGTAGCATGGTCTAACTACATCGTCCTGGGTTGCCCTGATTGTCGGGGGAAGACTAGAGAGCCGCGAGGAGGCTTTGTAAAGTCTGCTGAAGTGCACACACTTTGCATGAGCTTGCTTGGCGAGGTGGTCGAATTCATCGATGTAGGTTTTTGTACAGAATCGGTGAGCTTTGATGGTAGCCGTTCCGTTGTGGATGAGGCTTTGACGAGCTTGCAGAAGATGGATGCATGTTCAGGTGCAGGCGAAGAATCCGGGAGACTTGCCCGGAAGCTGAATGTCGCCATTCCGGTGGTGTCTGAACGTGTGGCAATCCCAGCGAAGGCCGGATCAGTTGACCCGCTGGCCTGGTTGCCACCAGAAAGGAGAAGTGTGGTAGAAGACTTGGGGCAGCTTTGTTTGGCAGAACCTTTGGGAGGAGGGCCTGCGCGTCCCTGTCACCAGGTGTCTGAGAAGGAGGAAAAGAAGTTGATCCAGCGCTTGTTAGCTGCGCAAATGATCACCCTGGTGTCGGAGGACGAGCTAGAGCGCACTGCAGATGGTAGATTGTTGGTTGGTGGCTTTTTCTGCGTTCGAAAGAACAATGTCGAAGACCGGTTGATCTTTGATAGGCGGCCAGCCAATGCTATGATGCAGCGCTTGGATTGGGCTCATCTCCCGGCCGGAGCCTGCCTGGCAAAGCTGCTTCTGGAGCCTGACGAGTTCCTTCGTGGCTCGGGAGATGACTTGAGAACGTACTATTTTTCTTTGGCTCTCCCACAGAATGCCTATAAGTTCAATGCTGTAGGTCGTAGGGTTGACCCCAAATTGGTCGCTTCCCTGGGAAAAGACCCCTCTGTTCCGCATCGAGCAGCTATGCGAGTCTTGGGTATGGGAGATTCAAATGCCTGCGATATTGCGCAAGCAGTTCACGAATACGTGTTGGAGCAGCATGGTCTCCTTTCCCCCCAGTCAAAAATGGTCTATGGACGCCACCTTCCTGATGGACCCACGCTGGAAGGGGCCTACCTGGATGACCTACTAGTGATTGGTCGCGTGAAAGCAGGAAGAGATGTGGAAGTGGATGGCTCTTTTGAACCCCCAGAGCCGCGACCTTCGGATCCGGACATGCGGCAAGTGAGAGCAGCAGAGTTAGCTTATGAGCACGCCGGCTTGGAGCGAGCTTTGCATAAGTCTTTTCGAGCTGAGCTGAACTTCAAAGCATGGGGAGCAGAGATAGATGGTGTGAAAGGCACAGCCGGCGTGCCAATAGCGGTCCGTCGGCAAGTGTGGCATCTCTTTAGCCGGGTGGTAGTGATGGGCAAGGGCACTAAGAACTTGTTGCAACGGTTGCTGGGGTACGCTGCTTTTTGCTTCCAGTTTCGACGGGAATGTTTTTCATTACAACACCATGTATACAAGTACTTGGATAGTCTGACCGACGACAAGGTGTATAGGTTTCCTGGTTTTGTATTAGATGAACTGCGGGGAATGATGCTACACCTTCCATTTTGTTGCTGGAATATGAGACGTTCTTTTGCGGAAGAGATCATAGCAACGGATGCAACGCCCAGTTCAGGAGGAGCAACAAAAGCTTGCCTGCCAAAGGCCCTTGCTCAGAAGTTGTGGAAGCACACAGAGGTTAGGGGCGAAGCCGTCCGCCTAGACCGCGATGCTTCTGAATTTGATTGGGTCATGGGAAGAGAACCGCGTGAACCTTCCCGCTTTGCTAGCCAAGTAGGAGAAAGTCTGCAGTGGAGGATTGCTTCAAGCTATCACTTTAGGCACACAGCTCACATCAACCTACAAGAAGCACGGGCAGTGAAGCGAGAAGTGGTGCGGCTGGCCAGCGCTCCTCTTTCCCGTGATCGGGTGCATTTCTTTTTGAACGATAGCAGAGTGGTGGTGGGCGCCTTTACAAAAGGTAGGTCCTCTTCTTTTCGGTTGAACGGGCTTCTTCGATCGACGTTGCCGTACCTCATTTTGTCACGCATGGTTCTGGGCTTCCTTTGGGTGGAGACGGACAGCAACCCAGCTGATCACCCTTCCCGTTTTCGTGAACTTCCTTGGCAAAAACCCCCTCCTCTTTGGATGCGGAAGCTAGGCGTCGATTTTTTGGCAAAGCCTGGGCTGGAAGTTTTTACGGAAAGTGCAAGGCTGACTCAAGCTTGTTTGCAACAAGGCTTGTCCATGTTCGAACCTGTAGACGCCAGCGCTACGTGGATCGAAGAGGCAATTTGTCAAAAGAAAATTGGTTGGATATGGTTAGCCCCTCCGTGTGCCACGTTCTCTGCACTCAGAAATTTGGACAGAGGAGGGCCCTTACGGCCACGTGGCAACCTTCTGGGGAACGAGAGGAACCCCGACATAGCGCTGGGAAACTTTTTGTGGCGACGCGCGTTGTATTTGGCTGAACTTGCGTACAGACATGGAGTTTTCTTCTTTTTGGAGCATCCACGCAGCAGTAAAGCCTGGCAACTAAAGGATACACAGCAACTCGTTTCCTTGCAGGGTACTTCATTGCATGAGTTCCATTGGTGCATGTATGAAGATTGTGAGCGCGCAAACAAGCCAAACAAAAAGCCCACAAAGATTCTTAGCACTGGGCCTTGGTTAAAACACATAGTTCGTGTATGCAATGGCCAACATGAAGATGGGACGCCGCTGAGGGGTGACCGGGCTAAGCTGGGCGGGGCTTATCCGTGGGGCTTCTGCGAGCAGTTTGCAAACGCGCTGTTGTTTTGGTATGGTGCGCCTGAGGAATGTTGGCTTGACCAGAGCCTACAGGCGAAATCTTGCTGAGGCAGCATCGTCGTTGGAGCGGAGGGTTCGTCGAGGGGGGCACATTCTTTCGAGGTCCACTCCATCCCCGCAAGCAGATAGATGGCTAGAGAGGGCTGTTGAAGAAGCTCACCGCGAGGGAGAACGGCTGTATTGGGTGACTCTCGGGCTGTTGGGTGTACAAAGGTCACTACATCTTTCAGGGTCATGTTTACGGGGAGCTTGGCGAGCTGTTCAAGGATGGCGCTCTTTGAGGCCAGTGCGGTCGCGTGTGCCTATAACCCTATGGTCGCTTGAAGGGGCCGTGTTAGCATGGCTGTGGTTGGGGTGGCGAGAAGAGGGTTGGATGCGCCGGCAATACTGGACCTGCGCAATGGCTTCTTGGTTAGCTTTTTGGTGCCTCCTGCGGCCATCTGAGATTCTCAACCTACGTGTTTCGGACCTTTCTTTTCCCCAGGGCGGTGAAGCGTTGCGAGACCCAGGGATAGTGGTGATGGTGCGGTCCCCTAAGACGCGCCGTATCTGGCACAGACAGTTTGTGTTGTGCAGTGAGCCGCGAGTGTGTAGGTGGTTGCGCTGGTGGGTGGCCGACAAGAAGCACACTAGCAAGATTTTTCCTGGCACACGCTACTTGTGGGACAAGCATTTCAAAGAGGATTTGCGGTTTCTTGAGTTGGAAGCTTGCTCATACACACTGGGGAGTATGCGTGCTGGGGGTGCCACTCATCATTTTCGCGTGCACAGCAACCTGAGCGTTTTGCAATTTCACGGTCGGTGGTCTTCAGCAAGTACGTTGCAGTTCTACCTCCAAGAAGCTTTTTCGACACACATTACCTCACAGCTGAAACCTAGCACTTTGGAGAAGTTGACCATGTTGCACAATTTTGACCACATGCTCAACACCCCGCCTCAGTTCAGTCTCAAAAGTTTGTTGGGGGTCGGAGCACATGCTTGGTAAAGTTGTTGCAGATGGGCAGGTCCCACTCTAGCCAGGGGGAACGCTCTCAAGTCCAAGCGCCGCGGCGGCGCACAGAGCGGAAGCGAAGCTCATCTCCAAAGCATAGCCAGCAAAGGGGCAGGCAAGCAAATCGAGGTGATCTTCCACCCCCCTCGTTAGAGGACCCTGGTAGCTCAGCTGGAGGTGTTTCGGCGCGGCGAGGTCACGTGTTGCGCGCAGTGGAACTCGCTTCAAACGAACTGACCCCAGAAGAGTTGGCAGCTTTAGACGACCCTGGGTTTAGACAGCAGACTGCAAGATGGCGTTCTGGCAGTGGCTCACGGCGGGTCTCGGCGGCCTTCGCCCGCCTGTTGACATCTCTGTATACTATTTTCCCTGGCTGGGCCACGGCTGATGGGTTGGCACAGTCGGCAGCCCCGCCCATAGTCGAGGCCTTGCCCTTTGACCAGAGTTCTCAGCCTTCGTTGCGGGTGTGGTGGCTTCGCTTCAGCATGGGCTGGCAAAGCTCCCTGAGATGGATGGTTAGTTATCGGAGGACTCTGTGGGCACTTTTGCTGTTGCTCTTATTTCCGCGTGTGGTGGCCGCTCTCATCGCTACTGTGGTGCGCCTCTTCATTCGGTTGATGCTCGCAATTACCACTCGACTCCTTCGTGATCTATGGCTCGAGCTTGGTGGTGTGGTGAACCAGTTGTCTTCCGTGTCTCAGGGAGTGGAGACCGCTTTGATGTCCCAACTGGAGCAAATCTTGGTAGATTGGTGGCCTCCGGCCACTTCTCAACCCTCCCTCCAACCGGCTGACCCTCCTGCCGGGACGCCTGCCGGCGCCTCCGTGCCGCTTGGGGGGGGGCTGGCCCCCCCGCCCAGTCCCCTCTTCACCAACCTCTTGCTGGCGGCCAACCTTTTCTTCCAAGTGCGTGCCCACCGCCGGGGTGGGGTGGCATAGCATAGCAAGGTTTCAC